ACTGGTGAGCTCAGATCAGTGACATGAATTAGAAATGACTAAAAGTAAAATGAAGAACTGGTGCAATGGTCTGGGTTGAAGCTACTGGATGGAGACAGGGCCTCATAATTGCATTTATTGAGTATGTGTTTAAAAAGGGGGAAGGGATTTGAACCGTCAAAAGAATCATTGCAATTTTGGAAGGGGGAAATATCCTGAAAGAATGCTTGCATGAGTTTTTCCTTCTGTAGCATGTGTCCTGCGGGTGGGGCGCACAGTACATTTTAAGATTTTATTTTAATTGTATGTTTAAACTTATATGTTTTTTATTCTAGCTGTAAGGCTTTTAGTTGTATTTTAGACTTAAAAATTAATTTTAAAAGTTTTTTAAAAGGAAAAGGACCTGGGTCTCGCTCACTCTGTTTGACATTTGATGATCTGTGAGGCTCACTTTTTCATCCAAGCAGCATTTCCTATCACCAAGATTTTATTCTGAACTGGTCTGAGTGGTTTTCTTTTTAGCTTCACGCAAAATACTAGAATGCACACCAGCTGTCCTCTTGCTTTCTGCTTTTCTGAAAACAGAGCAGCCAGGTAGTTCGCGGGGACCGGCAGATGCGCACACACACAGCACCAGAACTGAACCATCTGCGCCGGCTTCTGACTGAAGGCCAGGCACAATTTAAGGTGCTAGTGATGACTTATAAAGCCCTAAACGGCTCAGGAGCTGGATATCTGAAGGAGCACCTCCTTCCGTACATACTTGTACCCTCCTGGCCCCTAAGATCTGGAATGGAGGTCCTTCTTTGGGAGCCCTTTTGAAGAAGATCAGAAGAGTGGCTACCCGCGGGAGGGCCTTCTCTGTGGTGGCGCCCCGGCTATGGAATGGGCTCCCCAGAGAGGTGTGTTTGGCACTGAAGCTTTTTTCATTTCAGTGCCAAGCCAAAACTTTTTATTTTCCCAGTATTTTAAACGTTAGTGTTAGTATTGGTTTTATATTTTGTGTGTGATGCTGTGTCCTGTTTGTTTATGTTATTGCCACCCTGAAACATTGTAAAGAGTGGGATAAAAAAATTTAAATAAATGGGTAAATAAATAAATCCAAAGAACGCAATTGTAAGAGCTCCCTTCAGATGTGCCAGGCCAACCTCAAAACGAACCCTTCCTATAAGTACTGTGGTCCTACAACCCACCCAGCTGGTGGGAGACAGCAACAGGTTCTGAACTGCCATTTCAAAACTCCGGCGGTGAGCGTGCTGTCCAGGGCTTGGGCTTGGGCTTGGGCAGGGGAAGATAAGACAGAGGCTCCAGGATGAGGGCCGTGGACCGCAAGGCAAGGCAGAGAGCAAAGCCCGAGAGCAAGGTTCCTTAGCAAGTCCAAGTTGTATTCACGTAGCAGGCCAAGGCGAGGAATCCGAAGTCTGCATCAGGGCAAACCCAGGACACGCTCATGAACAAGGGAGGACCAGAAAGACAAACAGAGGGGTAAGTCCCTTAAGGAAGGATAAGTGGACAGGCTGCACGGCCACCTATTTTCAAGAGCAGTCGATCGAATGTTCCAGAGCTTGCGTAAATGGAGAGCCGCGTGTGCAGCCCAGCATCCTGCACAGATCCTGCACTCCCAGGAAAGTCCATTTGACAAGCAACCCCTCTCAGTCCTTGCCACACCTCCGTTTACATGCCCAGATTAACTGCATGGGCCTCAGGCAGCGCTGAAACAAGGGTGGCTGCCTCAGTTTCTGGTCCGGCTTGCTCCTGTAAGAACCCACCAAAGCTGCTGCAAGTTCGTGACTTGATGGTCAATATATTCCCCTTTAATAGCACACTTTTCTGAGAAGAAAACACCTCACCATTTTCAACACAACGAGGTTGGCACTGATGACTCGCACGGTCCACTGGAGTCAGACCTCTTTCTGTTTACTCAGAAAAGTGCCTGCTGTCCAGAGAGGCGCAAGTCAGAGCACTGCCCCCTGACCTTTTTACTTTGTGCATTCAGTCACTCACACATATCCAGAGACCTTGGATGTTCTTGGCAATGGGCTGCAGCTGGCCAAGCAGGAAGTCCTCATTTTCATTAGCACCGCTCATTTGCCATGTGTATCCTCTGCTGTTCGTTCTCCAAAAAGCTCAAAAAGTGGCTTCCATGTGGTTTCCAACAAGACCTTCCATGCCCAGATGGTGCTCAGCACCAGACCTTCTTGGTTCCCGCAGTCAATAGACAGTCAATAGACTTGCATGGTATACTTCTTTTATCTGCAGAGCTAGAAAGTTCTTCCTTTTCTTCTCGTCTGCCGATGGAGTGAGTGTCATACCTGGAATCACTGGGCAGGTGCCAAGGTCCCAGAATCCTAGCAAGGCCCACCGCCAACCTCTGCTCCAGATAAGCAACAGGAAGCTGAAACTAGCCATGTTTGCAATTCCCCACAATACCTGTGACCTAACACTATACTGAGGGATTGTGGGGATGTTAAAGGGGATCTAGATCCAGCTGCTCAGCTAGGGTGGCCATGGCCTCTCTTTGAAGGGCTGTCCAGTCCGAGTCCTCTTTCAAGAGACAGAAGTTAGAATCTGACCAACAAGCCATGCAAGGGCATCACAGTCTTCCCCACTAAAATGAGATACTGTGAAGTCTGAACCCAATATTGTGGGTTGTTCTGGGAGTGAAATAACCCAGAATTAGAAGCTAAGAATTATCTATGGACTTTTGCTAGATACTAACAGCAAATTTAGTTCTCTGAACATTAGCTTTACGTAACCCAAACTGGCAGCAACCATGCAGAAGAGTCAACTACCAAGAGACTTGGAGGGGCCTTCAAAATCCTCTGCGCTCTCTCCCTTCTTTCTGTGCATCATCTTTAAATGGGCTTGGGAAAGGAGAGCTCAAAGGTAGGACACATAAAGACCACGGCCCATTAACAGTTTTATCTGACATAAATGTGTCCGACACCCTTTCACAGAGCTCAGGTTGGTGGCACCTGATAATAGTCAGGTGGCCTTTCGGTATGCATCTACTGCTTGTCTTCATGTCTACTCTGCTTGTTCCCTTGCGAAGGAACACAAGTATTTCCCATTGCAAAAGCTGTGTATCTCCAGCAATCTCCCCCACAAAGAAAGTCAAGTCCGGATAGTGGCACCCCTTAGAGTGGGTGTGTGTCAAAATATTTCCTTTTAATTGATTTTGAGTCTCTCAAAATTGCCCATGCTGCAGCCGGAATGACAGTTTCTTCTAGGAATTTGTTTATAGGACTGGGATGTGGTGTCCAATCAGATTAGATAAGTCCAGTCCAAGATAAATTTTACCTTGGCGTGAGGAAAGGCCAAACTTTTGCTGAGAGCAGGAGTCCTTGCAGCTACCTGAACTCTCTGGACAGGGACTCTCCAAACAGACCATTGCGTGGGATACAGGATCCTCAGCAGTAGCGCTACCTGCGTGGCATGCAGAAATTCCCAGGTTCAATTCCTGGCATCTCCAGGTAGGGAAGCTAAAGAAAACATTGTCAATATGGAGCTACAGGGACCAAGGGACCAAAGCTCAGAGTATCAGGCTTTTTCTGAAGCTCCTCGTGTCTTGTGAGGTTGTTGGAGCAATAACAGAGGCTGCCTGGAACTGGTGTGCAGCCAGCCAAGTCTCTTTCCACACTACAGCTGCCATGGAAGCCTCATGTGGCTCAGGACTGAGCTGGGATCTTGCAGAAACCTTCCATGGATGTGGACGAGTTACGATTTCTATGCCTCTGACTGTGGATTCTTCAGAGGAATGGCTTTTTCCGAATCATACAAATTCTGAGGATCTTTTTTTTTTTTTTTCATTTTCTGTAATTTAAAGCAAATTCAGCCATAGAAAAGCCTGATAGATTTAAGGACCCCAAGCAAAAACGCACCTTTGCCCCCCTGCACTGAAGCATGGAGATGAACATGGGGGAACATGCCTATTGGTGAGAGATTTGCACATTTTTGGAAGTAAAAATTAGTGCAAGTGTGTACAGATCCAGTTCTGGAGATCAGTTAAACAATGAAATTCACTGCTACAGGTGAAAGCCACTGGCTTGTTCAGATTTAAAAGGGAAGTTTCTGAGCATATAACTTTGGTATTTTCTGCAGTGCTTCAACCGGCCCAGTCTTGGAAGCTAAGCAGGATTGGGCCTGATCAAAATCCGGATGGGTGACTTAATGTTGTGAACCGCCCAGAGAGCTTCAGCCCAGGGTGGCACAGAAACATATAATGATGATGATGATGATGATGATGATGATGATGATGATGACGACGACAAAGATGATGATGACAATGACAATGTCAATGACAACAACAACATCAATATTAATGATGATAAAGCTTTCTATGCCTAACAGTCACAATGTGGCTTCCAGGATCAGATGTGGATTTCAGAACAGCCACTGGCTTGGATGCTTTCAAAAGGGAGTGTGGCACGTTCATGGGAGAGAGAGTCACCCAGGCTTTTGGTCCTGGTGGATCTAGGCAGCTTCCACTGTCAGAGTCAGTGTGCCTATGTACTCTAGTTGCTGGGGAACATGGGTGGGAGAGTGCTATTACGCTCCTCTCCTGCCCGCGGGAGTCTATAGGCAGCCAGTTGGCCACTGTGTGAAGAGAATGTTGGGCCGAGAGACCCACCACCTGCTGAAGGAGAGCTCTTTTATGGGCACTAACCTTCACAGTGGGGCTACTAAACCTGTGGGCCAAATCTGTCTCCCACAGGCCCAGAAACCCGCCCTCTGGCTTTTTTCAAAATGGAGAGGTGCCACCCCTTTCCCCTGAGAAATATCTGGCTCTCCCCTCATTTCTGCTAGAAATGCAGTCAAGAGAGCATCCTCTGTGGCTCTATCCTCATTCTGTGTTTTTGTGACACAGTGGAGGCCACCACCGCTAAGACCCTGTGGGTTGCTCAGTTCGGATGCTGCCCTCCTGACCTTACTGAAGAGGAAAGAAAGGGGAAAGCCCATAAGTAAACTAACCTGGCTACCGTTTTAGAAAAGCACGGGGGCGGGGGGGCGTTGTTCAGCCTTCAATCGTGCCTGTCAACTGCTTCTGGGATCCTTTGTCCTCCACAACGGAAACAGCACAGCTGGTTCCCTGCATCTGAGTAAGAAGAAAGAGAGCAAACATTGGCTCCTTCTCCAATTTCCCCATCCCCTTCCTCCTTTTGATTTCTTGTGGGTTAGCGTGGCTTATGGCAGTTCTTTGAAAGAACCATGTAGATGCAATTGGAAAGAAATTAGGACGGTCTACAAAAAAGCTCCAAAATCCATGTTAGTATTAATACCTTCATGAAGCCTAGCATGCTCTGCCTTGGGGAACATGGGTAGCCTGAAGGCTACCCCCGGTATCAGAGGCCCGTGTGCACCAGTTGCTGGGGAACATGGATGGGAGAGTGCAATCGGACGCGTGTCCTGCTGGGGGGTTGTGTGTGGGCAGCAGGTGGGCACTGTGGCAGTGGAACACTGGAGAGGACCTTCGGCTAATCTGGAGGGGCTGTTCTTACATCCTGAGGCCCAAAGATGAGATTGGGTTGCACCTCCCTTGTGCTCTCTCAGCTGGGCTAAAAGGGCTTCACGTGCAATGCAGAACATGAAATGCGCAATACCAGATTCTGTGTCAGTGTGCGATGCTTGCGGGATCTGGAAGAGCCCCGTTCTCGGTGGTGACCGGTATGCTTCATGGACTCCAAAAGGCAGTCCGGGCAGCTCTGCCTGGGAGCTCTCTTGATCATTGTACTGAATGGGGTGACGGACTTCTGTCCCCAGATGCCTTCCCTCTGCATAAAACTGACGGGGACCAGAGAGCATCCTCCGTCCGGAGTCCAGAATGGCTGGACATTTAGCCTACAGCCCTTGCTGCTCTGGGTCACGCCAACCCGGCCGTGTGACCTGCTGCTTTACCTGAACCTCTGCTGCCTCTCGGAGACGCGGCCTCCACTTCCACATAGGGAGGAGGAAGGTCAGGGGGTCCAGGGTAAGGGGGCGGCCACAGCGGCAGCGTGCTGAAGGCCCCTGTGTGAGGAAGAGAGGCAGCGCTGAGCACTGGCGGCGGGAACCCGGTGGACACAAGGCAGTGATGGCCACGGGCAAAGCCGGCCCTCGCCACGTCTTCTGGATTGCAAGGCTCATGAGCCCCAGTGAGCATGGCCTTGTGTGCGCGATGGTGGGAGCTGCCGCCCAAACCACAGGGAAGGCACACAGGTCGCCTCCTGCTGCGGAGTGAAATTGACAAGCAGGGGGCAAATGCGGCAGTGGGGACCTTGCCCCTGCGGAGGAGCGGAGCGTCCGAGCCCCTTCCTGCCCCGAGCCAAGTTTCAGAGATGCTCCTGGGAGTGTTGGGAAAGTTCAGCTCAGTCCTGGCAGAAAAGGGGTGCTTATGTGTCGTGTTATAAAATGCCTGCACCCCTTTTTTGTAGGAAGCACCCCCCAAAAAAGTTCTAAGCCAGGCTGCTGTTCAGCATTTGATGTCACTTTAAGAAGTGGGACTTGATGGCTTCCCCCAAGAAGCTGCCAGGGCTCTTGTTTTGCTGACCAGTAAGGACTGGGCAGTCTGCCAGATTAACAGCATTGCAGTCACCCTCATTTGCATGCCAAGACCCACAGTAATCCCTGTGTCTGGGAGATCCGTTAATATCCTGCAATCAAATGCCATTGTCTTGAGCCCCCTCTGCAGACCTCTCACCTTCTTCTGACTGTGTTCACCTTATTTCATCATCAACTGACCAACTGCTGGGCCCATGTGACTCAGAAACTGCAAAATACTCTGTGTATGTTCTAAAAGCTTGCAGTTGATGGTGTAGACCACTATCCGGTCGGTCACACGCTGTGGTAAGTAACTGCAGGGGGCCTGGCTGATCTTGCTGAGGTTCAAGGCGAGGTTCAAGGCGAAAGGGGTCTTTCCTGCGGACCCCGGGTATCCTGTCTCGTGGCTGCCATGGAGGCTTCCTGGCAGGGGCTACATTCCAGCTCTGGGCAGGACCAAAGATACTCAGGGAGGGCAGTAACAAAAGGGGCCAAGACAAGCACCAGCGTAAGTTCCCACCTCCAGCCATGAAGCTTGGGGAAGGGTCTTTCAAGCTTTCGGAATTGGGGGAAAGCTGCACAGAGGGCCTGGGGAAACCCAGAGAGCCAGACTGGAGCTCCAGAGGGCCAGCTTGGCCCCCAAGATGAAGTTCTGCACCCCTGCCTCTGCCCATCCCCCGTTCGTCCCCACTGCACCCCGCTCAAAACAGCCTCATTGTTTGGAAACGTGTCCTTCGAAAGGGCTGCGAGAAAAGAGGCAGTGTGGTGCAGTGGTGAGTGTGCTGGACTGGGACTCAGAAGATTAAGGTTCTAGTCCGACTGGGCCGTGAAGCTCACTTTGGGCCAGTCCCCAGCTCTCCACCCAGTCTACCTCACAGAGCGGTGGAGAGGAGAAGAATGGAGCGGAGAAGGATCACGCGGCCCCCTTGCATTCCTTGCGAGAGGCAAAAAGAGAGGATGCAAGCGTTCGTGTAAATATTCTGGAATCGCAATCACGTTTTAAAATGCATCCTGTTTGACCTGCTGCCCCCGCAGGTCTGAAGAACCTACTGGCACTCAGCAGCCTGCCAGGTGGACCTGCCTTTTGCAGAGGAGGCTTCGGAGGGTGCGGTTTGGGCAACGCTGACCAGCCCTGGGATGAATGCACGGAGGCAGGGGACAGGGGCAACCTGTCTCTCTCTCTCTCTCTCTCTCTCTCTCTCTGCCATGCATCCTCTGAGCAGCCGCACCAGGGTGAGCAACTTTCCGTCCCCGAGGGCCACACGTGGTGACGGGTGGCAGAACAGGGCTGCCCCTGCACCCTTGCAAATACGCCCTCTCGCTCTTCTCTGAACCACCCCCAGGAACACCCCAGCGGGAGCTTGCTGCGATGCAACGCAGGGGTGCTGGCACGGTGCTGGGGAGAGCCCAGGGTCTGCGAAACGGTCCGGCCTGTGCTGTGTGTTCCACGGCACGGCAAGCGCTGAGCGGGGCCTGCGCATCCAGACCGACACCTGTGGGCAGGCAGCGAGTTCTGGGCTGCACAGTGTCATGTGAAGCCAGCTGTGCTGTGCAACACACACCCCAGGCACACACGCAGCCGCACAAGACAAGGCCTGGCATGCTGCGCTTTCGCGGTGCGAAGACTGGCCAAGCGGCATCCAGGTAATCGCTGTTCTTACGAGCGGTCCGACGTGCAGCAGGATGACCGTAGGTGTAGATGGAGGCCGTGGGGTATTCCTGGAGACTGGTCGCTTCTCTCAGCATGTCTGTTAGATTGAAAGGAGGGTGGGGGCAGAAAGCATGTCCATTAAAAACACACTCTGGCTTCCAAGGGGCTGATCCTATGTGGGTTTGGACAGAAAGGTGTCTCACTGCGTACCCTGCTGGCAAACACTGGGAACGGCAGGGTTTTGTCTGTCTAGTCCAAGTAAGACTGTGCCCTAAAGGAGGCTGAGCCGGCTGGAAAGTTAGAGCAGGCGGTTGGCCCCAGTGGAAGCCTTTTAGCTGCCTTCATGGCACCGAGGGGAGCATTTCCAAGGAGGGGCCCTCCGCCGAAGCTGCAGCCTGCCGCCCTCCACCTTCCGTGGCCCCTGCCTGCACTCAGGCCTTGCAAAAGGCTTCCGCTGGGGTCAGTTGCAGCAAAGGGGGTCTTGAGGAGCAGGGAGTGGTGTGTGTGTGTGTGTGTGTGTGTGTGTGAGAGAGAGAGAGAGAGAGAGAGAGAGAGAGGGAGGGAGGGAGGGAGGGAGGGAGGGAGAGGCAGAGAATGGAGTCCATGGAATTATGAAGGGATCGTGGCCAGCCATGGATGGCCCTGCCTACTATGGGATGTAGCCCCAGCCACTGCCAAAAATGCAAAACCAAATGTGTTTGGAAAGGTGCCGATGACTTTTCCCTTGGCCCCCGTGCATTTTGAAATGAAGAGCCCATCCACCGGGGCCATCTGAGTAAACCCCTATTCCGGATGCAGGCCAAGTCAGCTTTTGGTGGCGGCGGCTCTTTCTGAAACGGCTTCCATTTAGTAGCTGCGGGACACTTACAGCCTTAGCTTGTGGTGTGCAGTGTCCCCTTCAGGGATGCTCAACTCACCCCCCCCCCCATCCTGTTTAAATGCTCTCTTGGGTTGGGGACCCCTGTCCTTCCAAGGAAGCCGAGGGGAAGCCGTGCGCCTCGATGCCCAAGGACAGGCCCGCTCTTCCGTCTAGCACGGAACCAGCATCCAGAGCCAGCATCAGAGTCCAGCATGATCAGGCATCCACCCGCGGCCCAGGCCTGGCCGGGACCACTGACCAGAGCTCCCTGGAGCTTTCACCACTTGCTCCCCTGCCTCTTGGCCTGACCCAGACAAGGAAGTGGTGGTGAGGAGGAGGAGCAGCAGCAGCGGCGGCGGTCTGGCTCATTGCCTATAAAGCAAGCAGGAGCTGTGATGAGAAAGAAGATGAGGAGGAAGAGCTGCTGGCGACGCTGGTGCTGAGAATGCTGCCTTGCTCAAGGAGGGGCTCCCACTGAAGGCTCTTCACTCAGCGTCCCTCAAGACCCCGGAGCCAGTTGGACCCTCACCCGCCTAGCAACTGACCTGCTTCCGCCAGCTCTTTGATCATGTTTAGACAATCAGAAGCTCCATCCTGGAAGGTGAACTGGAAGGCGAGAACTCCCTGGATGGACACTGAGAGAAAGGACTGAGTGAGAACTGAAGTCAAGACTAGAGGCATCATCCGCATCTCTCCGTCTCTCTCGCTCTCCCTCTTCTAAAGCCGGCAAAAATGGCAACGTTTCCTGTTCAGAACCAATGGCGCTAGTGGCAACCAGGGCTTCCTTCCAGCCGGCCGGCCGGCCAGCCAGCCAGCCTGTCCCCCCAAGCCGCTTATCCAAGCCAATGCCGCTTCTCCTCTCTCCACTCAGTTTTCCATGTTTGTTTGCCTAGAACACACCCCACATCTCTTGGTGACTACCAAATGCTGGGCTCTTTTGAGGGAGGAAGGTTGTCTTCCGAGGGGTGTTTTAAAAAGGCAGCATTTGGCTTTCCCTTCTACAAACTTTGAGGTTCCTTCCTTCAGGCTTCCTGGGCCCCCACTCTTGTTTCGCAGGAGCCCCAAGTTGGCTGCATTTCTGCTGGCATGGAGACACTGTCCTCGTTACAAGAAGTCATGATGTACTTCTCACAATTGAATGCTGGGAACTAGGAGCCGGCATGGCATAGCGGTGTGAGTGTGGGGCTGGAAGTAGGAGACCTGGGCTCTTGACCTGGCCAAGAAGCCCCCTTTGGGCCAGTCGCTGACTCTCAGTCTAACCAACCTCATAGGGTGGCTGTGAGGATAAAATGGAGAGGAGGAGGATATAAGCCACGGCAGGTTCCTTGCAAGAGGGAAGAAGGTGGGATATAAATACCACAGCAACAGCAATAAAAATATCAATAAAGGCCTCATACGCTGCTCATAAACATAAATCTGATTCATTCCTTTGGCTCATGTGGGTAGACCAATGTTTTGATGAGCTGTGGTTGTAACACTGCATTTCCACACCATCTTTTTCCCCTGGTGAGCTTCATGGCCATATAGAGACTGGGATCCACACTCCCGAGTCCCCCATCCAACGCTAATCCCCACAATTCACTGACTCAGTGACTTGAGTTCCTTGGGGGAATGATGGGATAAAAAAGTAATGAAACAAAACAAAATATTATATTTCAGCATTTCCCCTAGAAAACAATAGGGGATGGATGCAGTAATTGTGCCACATTTATAATTCTTTATGGTTGGACCTTCCCGATAAATGAGTGAGACTCACAACAAAAGAATCACTGCTTTCCAGCTCCTGAGTGTTCTATCTGCAGTCCACAACTTTCAGTCCTTAATCTGTGACCACTGGACATTGTTGCCTTTATCAGACTGTTTTGCAGAGCCCTCCACACTCAGGCATTTTCCCTGAAGAGGTGTCTTGCCTTTCTGCAAATCCTGGGTTTCCCCATGGGCCAGCACTTGCCAAGTGCACACCAGTGGTTCCAGGATGCTGGAGACAGGGAATGATATCCTGCTCATCAAGGCAGACTGATGGTCTGACTCAGAAGAACCTGAGATCTTCTCAACTGGACATGTTAGCCTAGTGACAACCCATAAGAGGGGTTTTCTCTCGCCCTGAGAACAGTGTCCTCAGCTGAAGGATCCAAGTCATGAGCCACGTCATGATACCTACTCAGAGTCCCTCTGATATGCTGAGATTTGGAACCTGGCTCTTCCTCCAGAACACAATCTCCTAGGAGCTGCAGTGGGAAACGAAGAACGGTGGATCCCTTATCTTTGTGGTGGAATATGATCTAGAAAAGCAATCAAGAAACAATTCAAGAAGAGCCATGGAGCTCATAAGGAACAAGGTGCTCAGAAAACACAGTGCAACAAGAACTGAGCATGAAGCACCTGAAGCTCAAAGCCCACCTGAAGCAGTTCACCTGCCCCGATCCCACCCTATGCTAGTGTGGCCATGAGTCCTGCTCAACAGAGGACAGCCTTCTCCTTGGGAGGCAGCCCAGTCTGAGTCCAGTTGAGAGGTACAGAACCTGGAGCAGGAAGAGCCTGGCCACCTTGATATCACCTCGCCACAGTTAGCGTCTGAGTAACAGACCAGGCAGGCAGGCACACAGGCTGGGAGATGCCCACACAAGGAAGGGGGAAGTGATAGATCAGCTCGAGCAAACTCAAATGGAAAGAGAAGGGGCAGGATCAGAGCGCAGGCTGTGTCTCCTCTCTCTTTAGAACCTCAGGCCAGGAGACATGGCCCTTGGGGGCTCTCCAGACAGCCCCTTCCACTCCCTTTCTTCCTGATGATTGTCCAGTCATTTCCCAGCCTTCGTGCCATCTCTTCTCCTTCAAAAAGGGTGGAGATGCTTGTCCTGTGCTACAGGCAGCAAGAGGTTTGAGAGAAGATCCTGTTCGCTTTTGTTCTTTTGCCCCCATCCCTCTTGCCCTCATCCCACCTACTCATCGGATGTGGAACCTAAAGTTTCTCTCCCCCCCCCCTGCACCTGGGACACCCCAGGGGGCTAGTTTGGCCCTCAGTCCCAAGGTTCCGCACTCCCATTCGAGTGTTGAGGAGACATTGAAATGGCGGCTGCTCAGAGCCCATTACAGGAGCAGCCCTGCTGAGTAAATTCACAAGGGGGGGATGCAGGAGCTCACCAACACTGGCCCCTTCGATCCCAGAACTGGCTCTAATCAGACACATCTAGCAGAAGGGAGGGATGCAGGGTGAGCGACTGGCATTCCTTCCCTTCCACCCTCCACTGCCCAGGACTCCTTACTTTGTACTGGGTGAGATACAACATTCCTTTCTTGGTGCCTTGCAGTTCTTCCGGAAAGTCTGTCTGTCCTTCCAGTAACAGCGACACCTTTCCGTAGTGAGCCAGGACTCTGAAACAAAAGCGACTGCAGCAGTGGCATGCACCGTGGGGAAAGCAGGGGGCCCTGTGGGAATGGAAGAAGCAGGGCCCGGAGGCAGTGGCCACCTCCAGTTGCTCCGCGCCAGGAGAACAAAGCAGCTTAGGCTTGGGACTGGGAGGGCCCCTTGGCACTGCATCGCTCCCCAAGGAAGAGAGCGAAGAGGTCGCAGAGCTGCATGTGACTCCTTTCCCACTCAACAGCAGTCTTCCAAAATCCATAAGCCTAAGCACATGTCAGTTATAATGAATGGATGTCACTCCCTTTAAATAGGCTCAGTTTAGATTCCTAGAACCATAGAACAGTCGAATTGGAAGGGGTCAGAAGGCCATTGGGCCCAACCCTCTGCTAGTACAGGGCGCTAAGTTACACCATCCCACTCAGATGGCCATCCAAATGGTTTCTGAATGTCTTCAGTGAGGAAGACGCCACAACTTCTCCAGGTAAGAGATTCCATTGTCTTACTGCTCGGATATTGAGGAAATTCTTCCTGGTGTCCAGTCTAAATCTGGTTTCTTTTAGCTAAGTCCATGCACTCTGGAAAGGATGAGATCTTGTCCTTCCTCTTTCTGACAACCTTTCAGGAACTTGCAGAGTTCCTATCTCCCCTCCGTCTTCTCTTCCTGAGGTTGAACATGCCCAGTTCTCTCAATCTTTCCATAGGGCTTTGCCGCCAGTCCCTGAATCATCCTTGCTTATTTGCTTTAAACATCTTCCCCACTACAAACAGATCCCACATTTTACATCACTACAACTTTACTTTTGGTGTTCTGTTCTTTTCTGCTGTTTATAAAGGAATGCATTTCTCCATTTCATGTATAAATCTCTAAATAACTGGAAGCATCGCATGAAAATTCCAGTGACCACACAGAGCAGGGCTTGGCAGGGGGCAGCACTGGGTTGTTTGCATTAGCGGGGTCCCTGATGTGGTGCAGTGTAGTGCTTAAGAGTATGGGATTGGGACTCAGGAGATCCAGGTTCTAGTCCCCATGCAGCCATGATGCTCACTTTGGGCAGTCACAGACTCTCAGCCCAGACTAGATCACAGAGCCGCTGTGAGGATACGACTGAGAGGAGGAGGAGAATTTTGTAGGCCACCTTGAGTTGCTTGGGAGATGAATAGGCAGGATATAAACATAATGAAATAAATACAGAAATATGTCATCTGCTAACTTGCCACTATGGTCTCTAAGATTAGCTTCCATCCTCATAGCGGCTGATGGTGGGGATATTCCCCCACACCAGAAAAAACAACCTACTGTTCCTTGTAATGCAAAGTGCTTGAAAGTCCTGAAAGGGCCACTCAGACGCATCGTCTTTACACGAGTGCAGTTTCTGGTGGTGATGAAAACTGCCTGTCCAAGAGGGTTGCTATAGATTGGCTTGGCTGCATGATTTCCTGGACTCTTCTTGGGGGCATAGCACTGGGGGAGTGTCGTGATGAGCGTTGAGGGCAGAGGGGAAATGTATCACCACCATGCCAGGGTAAAGTCACATCATTTATAAAAAGTCACAGTTATACCGGATTTTCTAAATTTGCTCCTACCAGTAAGTGTTGAATCCAACCATGATTCTCCTCTCCCTTGAGATGATTTCTATTTACCTTTCCTCTGAACTGTTGGCTGACCTGGAGAATTGATACCTCGTCACCTCCATGGCAGCAGACAAGTCCTCTTTCCGTCTCAAGTGGCCACACGCTCCCTTTAACCAAGGAGCACTGGAGACAAGTGTCAGGCCAGTGCCTGAACCATGTAAGTATCTCTGTGATGTCAACAGGGGAAGTGACAACACAGGCCTTGACCTGAAATTGGGACGGATGGAAATCTCTCATTTCTGTCTTTCATTAAGCCAGATTTCCAGCCACCTGAGCACTTCTTCCTACCAATGGGATGTTTTCTTGTAGCTCAGTTTATTCCATCTATATATTCTTTGACCATTTGTCTTTCAATCTTGGGCTGCCATCCCTCACTTTCAGCTTGTATTTCCTCTGTTGTAGATTTTCTTGAGGAAGACTGAGGTGAAGTAGGAATTGAGCACCTCTGCCTTTTGCTTGTCTGTTATCACTCTGCCATCCACTTGGAGTAGCTGGACACCCTTCCCTTTCTCATGTCTTTAGTTCTTGATGTATCTGAAGAAGGCTTTCTCATTGTTCTTAGCAGCCCTTGCTAGTCTCAGTTCATTTCCTTCTTTAGCCTTCCTGATGCCGTCCCTGCAATTCCTTGCTATTTGATTCACTTCTTCCTTAATGTCCTGGCCCTGTTCCACCTCCTGTACATTTATTTATTTAAAACTTTTATATGCCGTCACCACATGCCTCGGCATCTCGGGACGACTCACAACACATACAGTTAAAAACAATAAAACAATAACAAATTCCATAACATATTATATAAAAACAAAAACAAAAAGTGACTGTTAACGATAAAGTAATAGTTTTTAAAATAGCAATTAAATTAAAAAGTTTTAACCTGGTGCCGAAAAGATTTTTCTTTTTTCTTTTTTTATGTTCTTTTTTTCTTTCAGGATGTCACTTAACTTTTTATGAAGCCACATGGGCTTCCTCTGTTGTCTTCTACACTTTTTTTCTTGTTGGAATTGTTTGTAGTTGTGCTTGGAGAATCTTCTTTTTCAAGATTTCCGAACCCTCTTGGACATCTTTCCCCTTAAGGGTGCGCTGCCATGGCACGTCGCTTATTATTGTTCTCAGTTCAAGAAAGTTCGCTTTCTTGAAGTCCAGTCCAAGTCTTGATGTTCAGCCGCAGTTAACCTTTGTCTCCTTTATAATTGAGAGTTCACTTTCCCCCAGGGCTCCTGTGGTTACTATTCTGTCATCCCTGTTAATTAGTATTAAATTGAGGACAGCTGATCCTCTCCTTCCTTCCTCTATCTTCTGCTGGAGGAAGTTGTCAGCAAGGCATGTCAGGAATCTCTTGGAGGGGCATGTTTGGCAGAAATTTTCTCTCAACATATATCAGGGAAATTACAAGTAAAGGAAGAATTGTTAAAATTTATAGGATATTAATGGAGTTAGGGGATCAGACAAAAAGTTTAAAATCAATTTGGGAAATGGATGTAGGTGAAATAAAAGGCAAGGACTGGAAGAATATTTGGAATAGAAGCGTTTATAAGAATATGTCAGTTAGAATTAAAGAGCACAGATACAAGATGATATGGAGATTGTATTTAACACCAGTCAAGTCAAGTCAAATTGATGACAAATACTCTAATATATGTTGGAGATGTGGTAAAGAGATTGGAACTTATATACATATGTGCTGGGATTGTGATAATATACAAAAGATTTGGATTATGGTATTTAAGGAAATTAGATAAATTTTAGATATAGACTTAGAAATGTCACCGAGAATTGTGTTATTACTGTTGATTGAAAAACAAGATATAAATGAAGCTAAGAAAGCACTGATCTTAAGTTTGATAATGGCAGTTAGGTTAGTGATAGTTAAATACTGGAAACAGAATTGGGTTTTGCAAAGGCATGAATGGTATAATGAAATATGGAATATGGTAATTATTGATAAACTGATGACAGAAATAAAAATTAAAAAAGGGTTAATGAAAGCAAATAAATATAAGGACATTTGGGAAGATTTTGTAAAAGCAGTACAGATAGAAGGTAAAGGTTGCAAACGTTATCAAGATTATATGAATTTCTGGAGGGGATATGGATATAATTGAAGTATATTATATATTATTGTTATAATACATGAATTAAGTGGAGGTAGTATTGGTCTCCGGGGTGGTGGGAGCACTTTTTTACTTTTCTAATTATTTTTTGTTTTGTAATATTATCATTGTCATATTGTGTATTTATGTTTTTTTCCTTCTGTATTTAAAAATAAAATTAAACATATATCTGGGGGAACATATATCTGGGAAACTGAAATCCTCCGTGATGACTACATCATTCTTTTCGAAGGTTGCATCCTTGTCTTCTTTTTGAGTGGTTGGTCAGTAATAGATGCCATCAACTACGTTTTTCTTATTTTTCACTCTCTTTAAATTATTCCAGATGTTTTCCATCTGGGCTACTAAATTCTTGTATTTCTGTGCAGATATGTGTGCCCCTTACATATAGTGTGATTCCATCTCACTTTTTGTCCTTTTTTTTGAAAAAGCTGTGCCGATCAGTTGTAGAATTCCAGTCATGTGAGTAGTCCCACCACATTTCAGTTATTCCAATAAGGTTGTAATTGCCCTCGTGTACTATGAGCTCAGGTTTGTGTTGTTTGTTTCCCCTGCTATGGGCACTGGTGCACAGACATTGAAATTCATTCTCATTGTGCCCTGGTTTTCTTCCTACATTTTTTTTTTGGGGGGGGGGAAGACTGATACTAGGCCCTGCTTGAGGTTTTTTCTGTTGAACTACCTAAATCCTTGTCAGGTGATGGTATGCCGTGCTGCACATCTCTCTCCCCTGTATATTTCAGTTTGAAGCTCCCTGGAACTTTTTCATGAAGTGGCCAAATGCAGCCTTTCCGTTCTTTGTGAGGTGCAGCCCATCATTTGAAACAAAGGTGGTTTGATGGTTTGACCCCATAGAAAGCCATTTCCAATGTTTCTCTTTTCAAATAAGACATATTGGAAAACAACAGAGGTAAAACTAGTAACTCTCTTCTCTTCATTTGAGATCAAGTCATAATGATAAATTTAAACAAGAGCAAATAGAAGATGAAAGCCCCATCAAAATGGCAACCATCCATCCATCAATGAAACATTGACCAGGCCTATGAGAGAATGTTGGTGCTCTTGGCATATTTTGGGGAATGGGACCAAAGACATCAGCCATCTGATAGCTTGGCCTTTATCCATTTCAACTTGGTGGGTTAGCTTGGCCATTGTCAAAATATTCCAGGTTGTATCGTTCCATTGGTATCTTGTTTTTATAGGGTAAAGTCCCTAGATTTAGATGGACCACCATCAAAAGATACAAATTACGATTTATGAATACAGTCAAGTAACATTCATCTATCAGCAAGGAAATGTGGATAGCCAAGAAGTGCTGAGTTGCACTCTCTTGAAGTATAAGAACATCTGCATCTCCTTTGGAGAGAGAAGAAACATTATTTATGGAATTCCTTGTCCTCCACCCAGCCCAGAGGGTTTAGCGCAGGCAGCATCTTTAAAGTAAAGCCAAAGCAACAGTGTTTTAACTTAAAACAATTATCTCCTTTTTAATTATCAGGCATTTGGTCCTACCTTAACAACACCTGGAAAATGCACATTCCCTCAAAGATGTTGAACACACCAACAAGGGAAACTATTCCTCAGTATGTCACTACAGTTCAAGCATGGGATTTTAAATTGGGACTCCTACCTGCTTTCCTAGGGTCAGCAGGGTACAGTGGACCAAGGAAAATGAAGAACATTTTCCTGCTCAGCAGCCGTTAAGTTCATCTGGAGTCAGCAAATTTCTCAGCCTTTCACAGGGTTGTTGTGCAGGCAGAATGGAGGAGAGACCATTGCTCTAAGCTCCAAAGAAGAGCAGAATAAGTATGTACTCTTCACTGATAAATGATGCCCAACTTCCCTCAAATTAGCTGCCTGCCCGCTTCCAACCTTATGCCTGCAATTTGGGAAATCTGTCATTTAGTAAGTGAACATGGTACTGCAGACCTCACACACAGAGGCAGATCAAAAATAATGCACTGATGTTTAAGACCCTTGGGATCTCTGTGGTGTGCATGCCAAGTTTCAGAGGTCTAGACTTCATGATCTTCAAGCTATGGTAATAGAAGAGTTAGATGGCTGCTCCTCCTCAGAGAAGAGAGTGGGCAAACCCCTCCCCTCAAGGAAATATAGCAGTGCAACACAGAAAGGCCTGCACCCAGGTGTGCTAGCTTCCATGTTTTCAGTCAAGTGAGGCAGGTGCAGTGCATCCAGCTCTGACAGCGCTTAAGCTTGCCTGAAGAGATGGAAAAGGCCACACAAGCATAAAAGACAACCATCTATATTAACTTGTTTATTTGACACACATATTGCAAAAATTGCAGAGATAAACATTTTCTCCTTAGCTACAATATTGCCACTATGTACAAAATATATGATAAATGAATTACACATATAAAAATACAGTATGCATTACATATATACAGTACAATGTGCAAAACATGGCAAAAATCAACATATGGAATTGATTTTAGGGGTGCAAACAGCAAATACAAAGGCATCATGGTTTCTTTTACAAAGGCAATGAACCACGGGATGCTCAGCTTGCCAGAATGATTGTTTTTCTTTACTCTAGCTCTTAAATGAAAGGTCTGTACAGACTGGTAGCTATCTTCTTTTTTTCATAAAGTGAGATGCTAAGACATAATGGTGAGTATGAAAAGAAGAAGAGAAACAACCATCATGCTAAACACAATTTCTACTTCAAGCAACACAACAAAGGAAAAGGACTTCCCTTATGTGAACATCTGTGCTCATGTCATAGTTTAGTTTCACAACTTAACAAAAGGAATCCGCACGGCTAGACAGCAAAACAATAGCCATCTCAAAAATATCTACATCTTCAATTTAAAGTAAAAATTCCCGTGGAGGATCTCTGAGGCGGGGCAGAGGCAGGGCACTCCTATGCTTGTTCTAACTGAAACGAAGGCAGGCGCTCCTTGGCAGCAGCTGGTGGCGGTGCTTTGGTTCTTCTTACATGTGGTCTTCCTCTCACCACTCATTTAAGGCTCTGGATCCTTTCAAATAGCATCCTCTGTAAAACTTAAATCTTAAAATGCTGGCTTCATGGTTTGCATTAGGAAAGCAGAGAAGGCACTCAGTGCCTTCTGTACAATTCACACTTTGCCAGATGATGCGTTAGGGTGCATATGATCAGGTGCATCCCTGCATCCTGCGCTCAGCAGCAGGCAAAGCAGAGCAGGCTGCCTTTCAAACACTGAATTGCAGTTAAGTCAGGGTTTGTTCAGATTCGTCACAATGTCACGTTGTTAAACACAGTGTAAGATTTATTGCAGCGTAATCAAATGGGCGAGAGAGTTTCTAAAATCAAATCTCTATTTATTTCCCAGTTAGGATCACTAGGCAGAAGTCATCCTTTACTGTCCTTGTAACACTCCTTAACTCGGTGTATTTGTTTGAAAAGCAACAGAGTGCGGCTCGCGAGGATGCGGCTGCAGCCTAGTTTTGTTTTGTTTTACAAGATGCGGCATTTCATACGTTAGCCTCTTCTCACTAAAGAGTTTGCTCATCCAAAAATATGTGCAACAGTAGTTTGCTTATTCCAGTTCAAACAGAACTCGTATCACTACCACCATTTAAGGTCCGTTTAATGGCAGCGCTGCACTACAGCTTTTAAACCTGCATGAGAGCACAGGCACAATCCAGCCGAAGTGAAGTACGTTTGGGTTCCATTGATTCCCGCGGGGCTTAGCAGAATTTAAATGACTGTTGCATTGGTGCCATTCATGAAGTTTTGATTTTCACTCAACTAGTTTCTGAATGCCCCGCACCCCCATTTCACAATGCTTTCCTCGTTATGGTAGCCTATGGTTCTCTGCTGTTCGGAACTATGGGGCAGTTGGAAAACACAGAAAGAGAGAAGAATGAAACATCGGTGGTAAAAGCGGAACTGTATGCCTGTTGAGACATAGACAAGGCCCACAACCCACCGTGCCCAAGCCAAAATGACTGGCTGTGACATGCTGGGGGTTGTAGGCCTTTTCTCTGCCTAAATATGCATACAATTTGTGAGCACCCCCTTAGAATTTCATAGGGCTGGGACAGGATTCTTCCAAAATAAATGGTGTAACACAACACAGCTTGGGCCACTGATGCTGTCCAACCTGTATATTCAATTGATAACTACTGATTTTTTAAAATACAAAAATGAAGTGCAATCCTCAACAGGTTTACTCAGAAATCAGTTCCGCTAAATTCTGAACATACTCCATCAGCACCTACTAATTTAACTCCCTTTCATTTCAATGGGCTAGTCCAAGTAGGACTAACTTGGGATTTAACCCTGGGTGATCAGGACTGCAGACTGTTCTCCCCCACTACCACCACCTTTCCAATGAATTAAGCATTTATTGTAATTATTATACATATTATATTGTTATTTTTGTGAAATCAGGATGAAACAGTTATTTCTGCAAGCCTACACATAGTAAACCCAAGAACGGCTATCAATGAGAGAGGCAGTTGCACAAAAGAAGCATGTGGTTGTTCTCCCACAACAACTTCCACTCCAACTGAAACTCCAAAATAGACACTCTGGATGACAAAAGCTGCAATTATGGGAAGACCCTTAAGTTCCCATGAGTGGGCCATTGCTACAAATGAAGAAACCAGGCTAAAGTAATATCTGAAGACAACGGATCTGCGGCCGAAGCTCACTCTAGCAAAGAGGGCATGCTCATTACTGTCAAACACATTTTAACCATTTGTGCACTGTAAAAGACCACACTAGTAGTGACAGTCACATGACTGAGTAATCTCATTTTTAAAGATAAAGATTTAAAATACCTTATGTTACAAAAAATTGTCAAGTGCACAAAAATTACTCAAGCGACTGTACATACACATATATAAATTTTTCACAAATACCAGTTTCACATACATATGGTAATTATTGTACAATAGGCTGCACATCCCATAACATGATGAATAGCAAACCATTTTTAGAAATGTTTCATAATAAAGCTCTATTCTGAAATGCACAGAAAATATCACACATCCCTACTCTAAAAAATAAATAATCTTGTTACAAACTTTTCATGATCCCTCATTGATTTTTTTGCAGAAAAAAGTTCTATATAGGTTATTACACGCCTGAAGGGATTTTGTTCCGGGGTTCTGGGTCGCACATGCTCCTGCGGGTTTGCACAGCTGTTTGTGCAGTGCAGCATCACACAGTACATCAATTTTAAGCGAGATTATTTACATGTACTCCGCCAGTTGGCTGGGAGTACCCTAGCCAGTCCGTAGCAGTAAGATGACAGAAAGCTGTGGTGCATCTGACAGACAAACTGACTCAACTGTGGCACATTTGAACCAAGGAAGATAGCCGATGTTTCTGATAAGCTGTGGCAAAGTGCTTCTCAAACTGTTCTGATGTGCTCCCGGTAGGTGCTTCCTGGTAGATGTTCCTGAGATGCTTCCCATTGCAACTTTCAGAACGCTTTTTTTTTTTTTTTTTGAAAACCAGGTTAACGACTCACGACAGGGCTGTTCACTCTCTTTCCATGTATCATGTGTTGGGGCTATTCAAATAAATCCTGGGTAAAGTATGTGTATAACCACTTGCGCGTGCATACTATATATAATACAAATTGTATGATATATGAATATGTATATTAACACTCAAAATTGCTCAATCGCTCAATGTTTACTACTGATGTGATCACCTTTGTATTTTCTGTTGTAGAGTGGGAAAATAAGGCTCAAATGGTAGGATCAGTTTACAAGGTGGTCCTGAAAAGCTGAGTGAAGTTTACAGGAGGGCCCACTTCAAAATGTTTAAGAAGCACTGTGTAGTAAATACGCATGACGATACAAGCTGTTGTCTCACAGTCACAAGGAATCGACTGTTCGCTAGGATGTATGGCCTTCTTTTCATGCCTGTTTGCACTGGGCCAGGATCCAAAGAGGAGAGAGATGCACACAAGCATAGACTATGTATGCAGACAGAGATTCCTTTGCAGAGTCAAGTTCCTTTTAATAGCAGGCTTTGCCACATGAAAAGTCAAATAAACACTGTATATATGCTTCCTGCATGCATACAACTTCCTTCTATTTGGACTTTGGCCCAGCCTAAAGCTTCAAAAACAAATAAAACAAAAAAAAAATCTACAAACTTTGTTACCTATTCATCCCTGTAACATTTAAGTACGAGGTACAGACAGTAGGTTCAATCTTGGATCTATCTTCTTTGGTCTGTAATATTGTATACGGCACATCACAGGATATATACTAGCTCAAAGCAGGGCAGAGCTCCAAACTCACTTCTCTTCCTATTATATTTAGGATAGGCTCCATCAGAGTGCTAAGTATCTCAACTCAAATCAACGCATGTGAAAGAAAATGAGACTTAGCATATCACTGGGAAATACTCAGCACCTCAAAAGATTAGCCTCCATCAAAGGAGAGCCAAACGGAATGGTAAAGCTGAAAGCAAGTAATCTCTCAAACCCTTTCATATTCGCCAATTATAAAGTCTCCTAAGCCGCGGGTCAAGGCAACGAAAATGTACTGCAGTTATTCCGCAGCATCGTATCCAACTCGTGACTGTACAGCCCCCAAATAACCTGTGGCAGTACCAAGACAAACATGCCCCCAAATATGGGTCCCAAATGGATGTACAGCTTATTTTCTGGTGTGAAGCTACCCTGCTAAGCACTTTCCACAGCATCAAGGTCCCGGCTGACTCTAAAGCAAACCTGAATTGGCATCTTCACAGTTGTGGCTCCAGGAGAAAACAAATTGCAGGTATGCACTGTAACGGTGCAACTGGCTCCAAATGCTGCACACAGACTGAATCTGCATCAAGCTATGCAGCTACTTGTTGGCTGAAAGGTTTTAGCATCCATTTTAGTGCTTATGCCAGGTCATAACTTTTTTTAAAGGTCATGAATGCAGGATCAAAACCTTGCTGATAAGGAATAATTCAAATTTTGATATCATTCCATTATTTTTGAAAGACAGATAATTTTGGTGCACTTGGCAAGCAAAGAGAAAAATGTGTAAGAAAGGTTAATTTCTCCTCACAAGTTTGAGTGAATTAGGTTTAATATGAAATTCAGATTTTTGTAGAAAAGTTGCAGTTTTCACATTTCTTCATGGTTAGAAAGAGTAGAGCTTTCTCACCAAGCGACAACTTTTCTGCTCATCAACTGTGGTATTAAAATAGCAAGTAGGATCACCTATCATAGTACAGCTGTTCCAAGCACTGGATCTGATATACAGCAAATGGACCTGATATGGAGAATCAGAGGCAGTTCAAGCTTGGATGTACTGAAGCATTCCTGCTCCTTCTACCCAAAGAAGTTATCAGGTGCAGCTCAGTAGCAGAGCTCAGGCTTCGCACGCAGTGGGTGCCTGGTTCAATCTCCAGCTGAAAGATGCAGGCAGTAAATGAGGTGACAGAACTCAGCTTGGGGTCCTGGCGCATCACTGCCAATGGGAACAGCCAAGAGTGAGCTCGATGTTCTGATGGCTTTCTAGGGTCTTATTATCTGTGGATACGGATAATAAAGAGAGTGCGCTGACCTGGAAAATGCCCGCTTACAATGAGCCCTGAAGGGACCTTCCCTTAACACCTTTTTGGCAGAGCTAACTGGCCTTGCTAGGTCAGGGAGATCAAGCAGGATGCCAATTTTCACACCTTCCTTTGCCCACTTAAAATATTTCAAAAGCAAAAAATCCAAACAAGTTTAAAATACCTTGCATCTGAGCATTATGTGCCGTAAATTGATATATCACAGAGCAGGATCTGACTATGTAGTGCTAGAAATTCACAGAGTGGTAGCAGAGCTCACAAGCTTTTGCCCATTATGCTTGCACAACAAGCTGCACAAATACAATGCACAACCAGTTGTGCAACAGGGTTAGTTGGACCCTTCTCCTGCACATGGGCTGGAATTTAGTTTCCATTACTGCAACATCATTTGTGCTAATGAAATGACACAATTTGTTACTGCCTACAATTTTCTTGTAATTTAAATTAAATTTTAATTTAAATTAAAAGGAATTTTTAATTCTGAACCTGATTCTAGAACATTGATTTTTCTGTTCATTTTAAAAGCATTAACATTAATTCAGTGGACTTAAGAGCTGGACTCAAAAGATGTGTGAGCTAAAGCAAATAGCCATGAGCAGTGCTCTACAAACACAGTACTACAATAAGCAGAAGAACGTCTTTGCATATCATTTCTGCTTTCTCATGGAATGTTACAGCACAAGAGGAAACCAGCCCTTTCTGCAAATAGAAGTCAGTTCTTACATGTGTAAGGGCATTTTTGGATCCAAATTAAAACAGTGGTAACACTGGTTTTAAGTATGCAAATAAGTGTTTGAAAATACTTAGTTTCACCATCTAGATAATAACAGATGATATAAAAACACATGGCATATTGCATATTTTTCTATTAACTTCCTATTTCAAATGGATACAAATTAAATAAGCTGCGGCCTTATTAAAGAAATCTTAGTTGATTACTTAATCAGTTAATTCTGCATGCTTCTTATGATTTGTCAAGGAAAAAGAAGTATTTCCTTTGTATTTACATGATATACATTTATGTTGCATTAGGCAACATCTCAGAAGAGGCATTCGCAAGATGGGCGTTTCTATCTAAAATTTCTTAAGTACTTGTATTAAAAGCTAATTTTAAAAAATATGATGCCACATTAATCAAAGGAACATCTTTAGTCTATTTTGCCAAGTAAACTAAGTGGTTAAATAACTAATGTTGCAGTATGAAAATTAGCTCATAGGGAGAAAGAGGTATTTTATATTCATGAAGAAATCCAAATGCAATTTCAACCTTTTGATAAAATCCCGTAAGATTTTTTGAAAATTCAACCGCAGCTTTCACAATGTAGCTTAAGCTTGGCTCAGTCAGGTGCAGGGATATTATGTCTTTATCCAAATACTCTTTGCTCTCCTGTGATTTTATCTCTATTCCCCCATCAACCCTCTTTCATTGCTTTCCAGTGATAAATTTTCAAAGGGTAAGAAAACCATTTGTCATGCTTTTATCTTAGTAGAACATAATTAACCATTTTTACTACCTATGATTTTTATTTAAAAACCCCCATTCCTAAAGATCCTTTTGAAAAATAATCCTGGAAAGAAGGATAGCAAAACAGTGGACCTATACTGTAGACAGAGCTTTAGAAACCATGGTCAAGTAAGCTTCTCCTTTTCAGTTAATCCCAGTGAAATGGTAGATCCTGTGAATCAAGGAAATCTGCTGAAAACATACTTGGAGCAGTTGAGCTGAGTGGAGTTAATCCTGATGATGTGTTTGGCATGGTAATGTCTAACCACTCCATGTTGTCTAAATTTGTGTCCGGAAGGTCAAGCGATAAACAGGAATTACTGGCGGTGAATTGCGAATCGGATGTTTCCATAGGTGTCTGTGAGTGATCTAGTATGCCAGAATGATTAAGGAGGTCATTCTGAAGGTCCTCAATGAGAGAGAAAGACTCCCTTTCTTCACTACTGCTTGGCAGCTGAGGCATTCCATTCCCTGAAGGTAGCGTTCCTTCCAGGAGAGCTTCCAGCTGGTTCTCCAGACATAACGAGAAATTGCTTGTTGGTTCCAAGGAGAGAGGTGGGGCCATTTGGACTTGTGGCGGGGGACGAGACACTACTGTGTTCACTGGCATTGTGGTGATGTTGGCAGTAACTGGTCTCATTTTGGAAATCAGAGAAGGTTCTTCCTTGGTAGGCATGGAAATCTCTGTTCGCATAAAAGGCAGTGACAGATAAATCAGTGAGTTACTTTGCTTATTGCATACATTGTAAAAATCCAGTGTTCACACTGGTGCACTGTTTTCACAAGATGTTTAACTTTTTGGCAACTGAATTCATGTTATTTTTGCAAATGGTGAATTACTTGGGCAATTTAATTAAGATTTGTGTGTCATGATATAAAGAAGCCATCAAGCCAACATCTGGGTAATAATGTCAGTGTGTCTATGGACACACTGTATATTTTGTAACTTGTACTACAGAAAGGGGCTGCGTGGTCACGCCTTGCCAAAGACTCCTTGCCAAAAGCCTGGCACCTCTTCTTTCCATTTCGGCAAATCAGTCACTTGAATTGATGAAGGCAGCCATTTAGACCCTTTACCATTCTTTCAACAGTTTGGGAGTACAGACTATCGCAATGACTGAAAGACACAGGCTAGCGGTTCAATACATTGGACTCCAAATTACTTAACTGAGTTCAATACAACATGCTACAAACTGCTGCTTGTTAACAAATAGTCAATAACTGCCTAATGTACTGAAAGAATAGAGATGAAGGCAGAGCCAATCCAATGTCATTAAAGGTTATTTACACAGTTAAGTGAGCTCACATAGTGAATGAGTTGCTGTTCAATAATAAGGGAATTGATAACTACTACAAGTTGTCCAACCAGTAAAAGGCATCTTTCTTCTGCACTTCACTCTCAATTATGCTCCTAGCAGCAACCTCCTAAGACACTGGACTAAAGAAAAACAGGAATAGGAATCCGCCACTATTATGTATGCCATTTTACTTAAACTTACCTCCACTCTTAATGAGGATATCAAAAAGGTCATCCATCTGCTGGCTGTGTGCATTAGCAATCTGTAACACAGATAATCCATTTCTTTGCTTTATTACAAAGCCTTTTCATGAAATGAGAAGATTATTCATTTGCTGCACCACATCAAGATCATAATGAAGATTGAGTTTGTGTGGTTACAGTACACCCTACGTTAGCACATAACTGAGACTCAGTCCAGAGAAGATGGAGGTACTGTTAGCAGGTAGTGCATCTGCCAGGTAAATGCCAGTCAACCACTTCATGAGGGAGCTGCATTCCCCCTGAAGAGTCAGTTTCAGAGTCTGGAGATTATCTTGGATCCAGCACTGTTACTAGAGGCACAGGTGAAATCAGTGGTGTGGGGCACCTTCTATCATCTTAGGCTGGTATACCCACTATACCCTTATCTGGGCAAAAATCCCTACCTACAGTTATCTACACTCTGGAAACCCCTTCTTTAGATTACTGCAATGTGTTATACGGAATCTGGAAACTTCAGCTGGTCCAGAACAGGGAGGTGACCTTGTTATTGGGGACTTACTAATGATCATATTATGCCAATGCTTTTCCATCTGCACCAAGTGCCAGTCAGTGTCTCGGCCTAATTCAGGTGCTGGCATTATATTCAAAGCCCAAAATGACTCAGGGCCTAGTTACCTGAAGAATCGTCTCCTCTCATATATAACTCCCTGGACCTTAAAATCATCTTCAGAGGTCCTTCCCTGGAAGCTCCTGCCAAAGGAAGAGAGGTGGATGGCTACTGAGAAGAGGGCCTTTTTTGTTTTTGCACTCCAGTTGTGGAATAAGCTTGCCTGATGTTTCTATTGTACTCTTTCCAGTGCCATCCTGCTTTCCCAGGCATTTTAGTTTTCCATTTTTAAATCTCGAATTGTATTTTCATCTTTGCTCTGCTGGCAGGATTGACTTTCATTTTTACTTCTATTTTATACTGCAGTTTTAAAATGTCATACTGTTATCATATTTTATGGTTTTCATTGTTGTGAACCACCCAGAGAGCTATGGCTAATGGCAATACAGAAATTTAATAAAAGAAAAAGATAGACAAAAACTGGATACTGGAGATCCCATTTTCTCCTGAGGAATCAAAGCTCTGTTGCTTATTTAGCAAAACTGAATACTAACCAAACAGGAAAGATTTTGCAGATTCAGGAGAGGAATGATCAGATTAAGGCTAGAGACCTGTACATATTTGTCTGAGAAGACGACCCATGGAATTCAGTGAGAGTAAATATGCACAGGATTGCACTGTAAGGGAATTCATAGTTAATCTGCTGAAAACTAAGAGTCTCAGAGTCTGTCAGCTATATAGATGTGTGTTCTATACAATGGCAAATATAAGAAGAATTTACTTTTGTCCAGCTAGGAAACATCAGTAAACACCCGAGTGAAGAACCTGTGATCTGTTTCTGGATTCCAACTCTGATTCACCCCAGCCAGCATAGCTTATGGTCAGGAAAGACGGTTGTACATTCAACAACCCTTGGAAGGCATGAAGAACAGCAGCTCAGAATACAGGGGCAGTAATCATCATTCCTCGAAACACACATGATACAGAAGAGAAGCAACATCCCCTTGGCTTAGGCAGAATTCCATTCAGGCCTTTTACATGCCAGTCATATGACACAGGTTTGATTTGATATCCAACAAAAACGGGCAATCAGAAGGTAGGGTGGTGTCAAAACTCACAGCCTACTAGACAGGGCGAGATGTCTAGATGGATGTAAGAATTCTGAGTGAGACAGAGCGGTTAACTTCCTGACGGCTTTTAAACTGGTAGGTACAGAAATAAGAACATGAATATTCTAAATGGAATTACTAAAACAGGTTTGCTGTTGCATTTATGTGTATATCCTACCTCTCGTTGAGAAGCTTGCAAGCTGCGAGTCTGTTTGATGGCTTCTTCATAGCGTGGGGGGTCTTTTGTCTTTGTTACCGAATTGCTGAACAAAGTTTGTTGCAAAATGTATGGATGGGACTGAGGTGGGGACGCAGGCTGCACAACATAACGGCAACACAGTTAGTTAGCAGATAACTGTGGAAGCAAAGCATTTCTGAATTGAATTCCTAGAGTGATCCGTATCAGCCCCTTCTTCAACAATAATGAACAATAATGGAACAATAATGCCATCTCAAGAATTTAAGAGCCATTTCTCTCCCTATGCCAGGGCACTGGCCTGCAGGCCACACACACTCCGCACCCGCAATCCAATCAGACTTGAAAAACGCCTTCCACCGGAGCCAGTGTAAAGCTTTCTAAGGCAAACTGCTGCATGAAGGGCTCGATCAGGAGCGGCGGCCGAAGCTGTGGAAGGACTCCCGTACTCCCCTGTCCTGTGCGGATTAGGCTTGGAAAAAAATTTTCTATGCAACTCTACCAGAGGCTTTATGGCTGCAGCAGTGGGATGCGTGCGGCAGCATCTTTATATATAACTGATAGGCGTGTGTCTGCATACTGAATGTAAATACAGGTGCATGAGCATACCAAAAAGAGAATGACAGTGCGTTACATGTGAGCACAGATGAACATGGAGGCTGCAGCGTGTGTGCACGTGTGCGTGCAATGGAGTCCTCTGACCCTGCCCAATTTCTGCAGGGAGGAGTCCACCTCTGGCCTGCAGCCCTGAAATGGTCAGCCGCAAGGGAAAGGGAAGGCAGGCCTCATGCAGAAAGCAGCTCCTCATTCCTGACTGTGCTTCCTGACGGGAAGATGTGCTCTTGCCCTGTCTAGAGGATTCCTTGAAATTCCTAACACTTTTAGGTCAAGGAGCCAAGATGCCTCCTTGAGAGACCAAAGTTCTAGAAGATTCTCTCTGGGCACACATAGTGCCCTAAGTGCATCATAAAAGGCATAATGTGACAATCCTTTCACAGCGTGTTGTTGTGTTTGGTGAACAAAACATACCTTCTGAGGAGTACTGGGTCCATTTTGCACCAAGGGCATCTGGTTCCCTGAGTGAACTGTGACATTTGGTGCCTGATTAAACAAAGGTTGCTGGAGAGTTGTTACAGACTGATTCTGATAGGAAAACGCAGCATTTGGTGAGGTAGGCGGAAATACCTGTACAGCACAAACGTTTATTTAAAATTCGTGTAAGCTACTTTTCTCATACCAAAATAAACTTGATTAACAACAACAAAAACGCTGGATGTGGCCAACAATTACAAGAGCAAATCATCATAGACAGCCACAGTGCTCAGTATCAGAGTGGACTCTCTGGTTCACACACTTTCCATAGCAAGTTTTAGCCAGCCTTCAAACAGTGTTCAAAAGTGGGACATGCACAAGGGTCCCTTGGCCAAAACTAACAAGCGGCTGGTGCAGCTCTTGCAGTATGACTGCAATATTGTCCCGGGGGCCCACCCCACCTCACTGTAGCATACTTCTTCAGTTGTAGCTTACAAACAGTCTTCAAGGGAAGCCTCACACGGCTAAAACCAAGGGGTGCTTGATCACCAGATTTGGGTTGCATTCAATAACAAAATTAACTCCTTTGGCGATGGGTCCTGCTCTTTGTGTTCTTCACAGAGATATTAAAATGCACCACGGTTTGTAATTTCATTATTATTTATAGACTGCTTAAAACTGCTAAGTTGCACACCTGGCTACAGTGGAGAGGGTGGGGTAGTAAGAATGAACCCAGGCTTCCCTCCCTCCTTAGGGCATCTCCCCATCCACTACACCTGTAGGCTCCCATATATATAGCACGGGCACCCCAGTACCATGCAAGGGCCTAGAAAAGACAGGCCTGTTGAATGCTCGACGGTGAGGGACCTTTTAGAGGGACAGCCATATGGAGACAGACAGTTTAGAGTGACAGTAGAGCACAGAGCAAGGAGATAGGATACACTGGAGGCCACCTTGCAGTCTCTTCTGCTTATGCCACAGGCAGGTCACAGCCATAGACTTGTGCTTGTTCTTTCAGCATAACAACGGAATTTCCCCAGCATATGTGCCAGTAAAAAGCGCGAGATCTGCAATGTTCTGCATTTCCCACTGGACAGACATCGTGCACTGAAAAGTTAGCATTTGTGAATCACAAATTAATGCCAACTGTGATAGGAATAAAGAGCTGTTTATGCATTAGATTGTTAAAAGATGGTTCAGAGCGTTAGCTGCTGAGTAATTAAATTTGGTATTGTTATGTTCAGAGGAAACCAAATCAGTTTGCAGACCACAAGTTCTAAAGGGAAAACTTTCTTTAGTTTTGAGGCAGTTGTTTTACCAAAACAAGTCTCGATGGGTTTTTTTTCCTACTCCAGATAATGCAGTCTTCTTTACTTCCTCTTTTACCACTTCAGGTGTCAAGGGTAAAATAATGTAGTGGAGTACATAACTTTCACTACTTCAAAATGATATCTATTCAAGCATTTGGCATGCATTATGGTAATTATTCTAAGATTCTTACGGAAAAAGGATTCTAACCTAAACTTAAGCATTAAAACTGAGAATTGCAATAATAAATTCTGTAATGTACTCCACACTATGCCCTACATTACAGAAGATAATGTGCTTCTAAATTATATTGGTAAATTTACAAGCCATGAAGCAGAAAATTAAATAGTTTCAGCTGAAGCATCCAATTAACTTGTACTTCTGTAAGTGTTCACCAACCTTTCTGTTTTGTGGGGCCTGAGCAAGTGTGTGCTGTGGGGAAGCATTCTGACTGGGCACTGCTGTGTGCATCTGTGATACTTTCTGGGTCAAACTAGAAGAAGCTGGTATGTGTGCCACGGTTGGAATTCCAGCTTGTGACTGGGCCTGAAGGAGGAAGAGAATGACTATTTCAGTAAGTACAAAACTGCTGCTTTAACATCAAGAAGTCTCAGGAACATTATTTTTCAATGGCTCCAGAAAATAAATAATTTTAATAAATTAATATATCCAGTGTCTTCATTCATTCATTCATATATTCATTCATTCAAAAGTCTGTTGTTAAGCCTTCCTGAAGCTTGACAGAACTGAGCATGTTTAGCCTTGAGAAGAAACTTGAAAGATTTTCACAAAGTTGAATGTCAGGATCTCTTTTGGATCAGCCCATCCCAGAAGGCAGGAAACAGAATAATGGGCTCAAGTTACAGAAAGCCAGGTTTTGGCTGAACATCAGGAAGAACTTCCTGATTATCAGAGCAGTATGACAATGGAACCAAATGCCTAAGGAGGTTGTGGGCTCTCACACACTAGAGGCATTCAAGATGTAACTGGGCACCCACCTGAGAGGGATGGTTTAACTTGGAGGCCTGCGCTGAACAGGGAGTTGGACCTTCCAACTCTACTATTCTATGATTGGCACATAGCTACAAGGAATACAGTAACTTAGTGTGCTCCCAGTCCATGAGCTACGATCGTGCTATGAGTAGGCAGGCAGAAGTGCCACGCCCACTCTGCCTACCATTGCCTTACTTTCTATGACCTCCCAGTGGACCTTGGCCATTGTTGACCAGGCAGTTGAGTGCAAAGGAGAATTCTTAAAATTTGAGTTGTAGTGCAGTGGCTAAGAGTGCTGGACTGGGGCTCAGGAGATCTGGGTTCTAGTTCCATTCAGTCATGAACTTTGCACCAGTCACTGCCTCTCACCCTACCCAACAGTACAGGCTTGTAGGTGTCATTCGCCTGACTGTGGGGGATATAATTCTCCAATCAACTGCAAGCATCATTTTTGGACTGAGATAGTGAAAAGATGAGGCTACCTAACACTGGCTCAGACCACTGGTCTCTGTTATTGCCAGGAGCATTCATGCTAAGGCCTTTTTCATCATAAGAGAGACCCTTTTAACTTATTTTGAAATTCTGGAATTGAACAGGGATTTTCTTTATGTAAAGTCTGTGCTCTACCACTTCTCCCTGAACATGTCAAGATGTTAAGCTGTTATTGGCTGTCTAGGTGAAGCACCTCAGAGGAGGGAAAGAGGCTGCCATTTAGATTTGGCATAAGCCATCAGCCCCTGTACCTCCCCTGCCCCCTGCCAGCATGCCTCTTTTTCTTCTCTTCAAGGCTGATTTTTGATCTAAGAGAAGCAGCTGGTTTAGTCCCTTTTGAGTACAGTGTACTTGCTCTAAAGTCACAAAACCCCTAGGCAGGGGACTTGAATAATCTTAATAATCCCAACAATGCCAGGATCCCACAAAATTGCACCCTTAGGATATTAATTTATAGCTTCAGGGATGCAAACCTCTGTTTCTATAGATATATACAGATGGTTCCTTAGAACTGGGATTGTGCAAGCTTGCATTCACGTTTGTCAAGAAACTGAGATATCAACTGTTTCACTGCTAAAATGCAGAATGTCTGAAACTCTGTTTCTATAACATTTTATTTACGAATTGGTGCTTTGTTGTCCATTAATGTACTTCAGAAATAAAGTTGATAAATCTCTTAGTTAAAATGCAGATTTCCCTCATACATCGGGACATCAATGGACAGGCTGCCTACAACACAACTGGCTGAGTCAAATACTCATATGCGAACATCAAGAAACCTTCCGTACCTGTACCTGAATATTGCCCACAGGGACTTGCACTGATGCTCCTGAACTTGGGCCCTGAAGAGACAGTGGTAGCAGCAGCTGTGCTGTTCCTTGTGCAGTAAGTAAAGCTTGAGGCTGAGCAACAACAGCAGTTTGTGGTTGTCTCTGTGAACTTACATAAAACTGAGATAGGACATTTTGTGGTTCTGCTTTGGCCAAAGGTACTTCCTGCTTGATAATGACAGCCTTTTTGGCAACTAGGTTCTGGACATCCACTGACATTGGTTGCCCTGAAGAATGACCGGCTTCAGATACTGATTGTCTGGCATCAGAACAATCAGCTAAAGTGCCTTCTTCTTTGACAGCAGGACTGATCTGCTTCTGATTCAAAAGCAGTGTTGGATTAGCTGTGGTTTGGGGTTGCTGCTGATGACCCCGCTTTTCAACCTCAAGCTGCATTTTCAGCACTTCCACGAGTTTCTGCTCTTGTTCCAGTTTTCTTTTGAGCTCTTCAATCTGCTTCTCCTTTTCTTGAAGTTTACGATCCTTTTCTGCTGCATCAAGCTCCACGCCTGACATGCTGCCACTGCTGTGGTTGTCCTCATTTGTGGTCACCCTGACAGGTGATGCGCTTGGGAACTGTGATGGGGACATCATGGTCATGATTTCTGTCAAAGTCTCTGCCATGCTGGTGTCATCGGTGCTGAGACTGGACTGTTCCGAAGGAGACGGGGAAATGGGCAAAGGGGAGCCAACACTTTCCATGTGTGTTGATTTGTTGCCGTTTCCAACAGATGCTGCTTCTGAAGAAAAGCTGGGAACTGAACTAACAACAGCCTTATTTAAGGTGGCAACAGGGAAGACTGCAGCTACTTCCCCAGGATTATTGGTACCATTAGCAGAAGGAGTTCCTGCCACTTTATTACTTGTGCTGATAGAATTGTTGTTAAGGTCCTGATAGGGTTTTAGACGCTCAATAAGGTCCATTTTAGTTCCAGACACTGGCAATCCTCTCAACTTTAGTTCCATTTTCAGTTCAGCTACCTGAGATTGAAAGACAAGTTAGACCATCAGCAGTAGTGGAAAAGAGGCTAACAAGTATCTAGTCAGCTTTGGCTCACATGGCTCATTCTGCACACAGGAGTTATCAGAGACTATATGGCCATGCACCCCAGTTCAGGAGGTGCCGTCGCACTCATGTCCTGCTTGAGGGATCCTGTGGACATCACCACTGCTATCAAAGTGCCTACAATTAGACATATTAGGGAGAAATGTAAAGTAAAAAGGAAAAGGGAAAAGTCAAAGTGAACAGATGTGTTTTCAGGTGATGCCTGAATGCAAAAACATAGGAAGAGCTGGGTGTCAAGCAGACAAACCATCCAGTGACGGGGAGCTGCAAGGGAAAACAACATAGAGGCGGGAATAATCTTAAGATTTAAATGGTGGGTGGGTACCTGAAAATTCCAAAGACAACCAGACAGATATGGAGCAAGACTTGAAAGGAAGAGGAGGGAGGACGCCACTGAGAAGAATGACAAAAAGGAAGTATATAAGTGTACATTACCAAACAGGAAGGAGCTGTTTGATCACTGTTGCTTGACCACCATTATGCACAGATCTGTACATATCCTCCCCTGGATATGAAGAACTTTCCCAACATTGCACTTGCCAAGAGGCTCTGGACTGAGGGGACCAAATGAATTTCCTTCACATTTTGAAAGGAAAATTTATTTTCTAGCAAATTGGGAATTATATATTCATGTCTTGCCCACAAAAGCATTTTTGCATTAAGTACATCATTCTGTCTAGTGGAGAATCAAGAAATAAAATCCAGAACCTCTAGTTTCACTGGTCAACCACCACACTGTGAAGTTTAACGACTGCAAAAGACAGGTGCCTGTCAGTACAACACATGGCACTATTTGGCGATTCAGTGTTTGAAGTCATGCATGTAGGCCATGATGCAGCAAAAAGGGGGATGCATGAATTCACACAGCTGATTATGGAGTGTGAAGAATTGAAACCAACCTGAATAGGTAATCTCTGCAGTTTCATTGCTGACAATGTTAAGGGCATGCACTGTGGCATGATCGCCATTAAGAAAAATTAGATTACCCAAGCCCTTTTAAATGGTTCCAACTTTTGTAGAAACTCAGTATCTGCTAGCATCCATTCCAGGACACAGAATACACTGTTCACTAGAGGGCTCTCTTTTTCCACAGAAGAAAGGCTTTGGGGAACATTTTCATTTACATGAACAATGAATACAAGAAAAGGCTGAGCCTGAAGACACCTTAAAGAGCAACAACAACAGTTCATCTTTCCCGCCACAACAGTTGCTCATTCATCCTTTCCTACTACCAAGACCTTCTTTTGGTTGGACAGAACAAGTACTTTGACAAGGTGTGCTGTCTCATTGTTCACTCCCCTAACATAATTGCCTCAGGTAAAGCATTCTTTCCACAGCTCACAGTTAATGAGCTTGAATGTATTGTAGTAATAATTTCTCATACCCTACACAGGTTGACTTCCTCCTCAATGAATGGTACTTAGATCTTGTGGGGTTTGGGGAAGATACAACAGAGCAGTTGGCACCCAGAGCGTAGCACTGAATGGATACAGCTGCTATGAGTATAAGGGACTTCATTTTTGCACCCTCCTGGTTTAAACCAGGCTACACTTCTGTTCTCACTGATGAATATATGAATGTCCATCTTTCGGAAAGCTAACATAAAATGTCACAATAATATAAATTAGTTTAATTATGCCAGGACTGAACTAAAATAGGGTGACTCGGCAGTATTCACAAGCTGCAGAAGTTTTCTCCCTGCTTCCCATGGATATTTTTTGTGGGGGGCTTGTGAGCACAGCTAAAACTCTTAGCTCCTTCAAAGTGAGGACAACGTTTCCTGCTTTCATTCTGAATTGGGTTTCGTGGGACTGTCACACAGTCATATCTGACAGGCTATGTGCCAATCTCACAAGCCAAATGTGGAGGGCAAAAGCATTACCCACACTCTGATAGGCCTTTGTAATATCACCATGTAACCAGTTCTTGACTGCCTATGAAGCAGTAGGAACATGATCACACAGACTATACGATCCCTGACTGGCTGGAAGAAGATGGCACCGAACTGCAGCCAATTGTGTTTGTAAAGAGAAACAAATGGCCAAGCAAGCAAAGGGTGTGAGTGGGTTAGGAAATGTTTCATGCCCCCTGAACACACTACTTCCAAGTAACAAATGCTCATTTGTGAAATTTTACCTTTAAGTCATCCAAGCTAGAAGGTAGAGGTCCTGGTTTTCTGTGGGTGAGATTACTGTTCTGTCTGGGCATACTGGCTGATGATGAAGTTGTGCTATTCAGTGGTGCATTCCCAGTGTTTCCCTGTTTGTCACTCACTGGCCTTCAAGGGAAAAAAAAGAAATTTCTCTCTTACAATAATTTATTTTAATATGCATGTTCTTGCATTTTAAATGACATTCCATTTAAGGATGAAGCATTTTATATATTCTACATGAATCTAGAAACACTCAAACCATCCTGTTTGGGTTTTTCTCAGGTATTGTATTGGGTTAATATAAAAGCATGCTCTATAGGCTCATATTTAAAATGCTGGAGGGAATTTTTCAAAAAATGGTGTAAACATCTGTAAAGCACCATGTGCGCTAGATTCAGCAATGCCTTCTGCATGAGCTAAACTCCAGTGTGGAATTGGTCAGCCCCACGTTTCAGCATGTTAAAAGGCATGTGTGAAATCACCTTCACTCTCCTGGAAAAAGCAAATCGGGCCATTTTTTATCAGGATAATAACTACCGACACTTTTTTTAGAAGCAGAAAAAAATTCAACCAAAACTCTTGCAAGTGCAACTCTTGAGACATTTTACAATATCCTTGCAACAAGACTGTGTCCAACAGACACAATTTGGACCATGCAGTATGAGATATGCACTTGTTAAAGAGAAGTTTAATAAGAGCAGTTGTTCGGACTAGATAAAAATCTGTAATCCTTTGCATCTGATGGTATGGTCTGGCACCCCATCCTATAGGTGCTTGCAAAGGACTGCTGTTTCGACAGTGCTTGTACTAGTTTAAAATGTCCTGGAAAGTAACCCCTGGCACAAACTAAATGAAACGTTGAGTGAACGAAACTAAGGCCCACATTTTGTACCCAGGGAAGTCTAAGCAGCCTTGGGACCATATGGGCAGTGGATTTAATTATTCAGAACAGCTGTCTCTCCTGAGCTGCTATTTACATTCCAAGGGAAGGCTCCACTGCCAGCAGCAAAGACTTCCCTTGAAATGTAAATAGCAGCTAGGGAGAGGCAGTTTTTATGAGGACTGTAGCAGGGAGAGATAGGATTAAAACTATCCTCTCCATGGTCCCAAGGCTGTTACTTACACAACAAAAAGTGTCAAGCCCTGAACTCACACAATTAGCTAAAGTTTGGACTCTGCTTGTCCGACACTGGGCAGGAGCAGAGCAGCCATTCCCAGTCCTGTATATGGGGAAAGAACTTTGATTTGTACCTTCGTGTGTTCATTTAACCCATGCAAGCTTTCGAGGAGGCCTGTGGCATTGATCAGAGCTGCTGCAGTGTTAGGGTGAGCAGGGGGGCTAAGGGGGCCAAGAGAGTGCGCGGATGTCAGAACCATTAAGCCTGACCTGATCCATTTTTGCCTTGCAGAGCAGAGCATACAATTGGACTTTACATCATCTCTCGCTTCAAGCACATACCGTGTTTCCCCAAAAATAAGACCTACCCCAAAAATAAGACCTAGTGTGTTTTTGTGAGCCAAAATAAATAAATAAGTAAGTAAGAAAGACAGTGTCTTACTTTCGGGGAAACACGGTAAACCCAGTCTGTAGTGTGTACTACTACTACTACACACACACACTGTTGCAGCCACTGCCTGCTAAATTAGGTTTCTCTTGCTTCCAAGTCTTCAGGGCTAAGGTGCAGCATGACAGGTCCTGCCTTCCTTAATTGCTTTATTTCTGACTGAAATCTTGTGTAGTCCAGAAACCTTCTTCCCCTCCAAACTGACTCCAAGTTGCAGAACACTGCAAGTTCCAGCAGTTGAAATTTTCCCTGCTGAGGACCACCCCCTATTCTTTCAGCAAAAAAAAAAAAAAAAAAATGGTTTTGGCAAAGCTTCACATACTTGAGTGGTGCAGGAAGAATGGCCTGGTAGTTGTAGTGTTGCTGCTGTTGGCTCAGGATCTGTAGTTGCAAAAAAAGCTGCTGTTGCTGTAGCAAGCGAGCATAGTTGGAGTCCATCTGTGGCTCATTCTTCTCACCTTTCTGATCAGGTGGGATATACTGATGGTACTTCAGCTTCTTCACTCTGGGCTTTGGTTCTTTGCATTTCTTGCTCCGAGGCTTGTCACTTGGATTCTTGGGGTGGGATTGCTATCCACAGACAGAAAGTAAAGCTATGGGTTACATCCAAAGATATACATCCAGGGCTGTTGTCTACAAACACTCATGGCGATTTTCCATTTGCTTATGGTTCTTTGCATTAAAAGCAAGTAAGTTACGAAATGCACTGAATCACATGAAATCTGATCTCAATATGAAGGGATGTAAAGAATGAAAAAGAAGCCAGCTATTAGGAACATACCCTAGGGTTCCTGTGGTATCTTATGTGCAAATTATTGTTTTAAGAGAGAGGAACTGTGGTATCTTATGTGCAAGTTGTTGTTTTAAGAGAGAGTATCATACAAAGCAGTTGTTTAAATGCAAGTAACAACATCCACATGTTCTCAAAGAAAAAGATTCAGTGTGTTCCAGTTACAGTTGTTCAGCAAAAGCTTTGTAGTATAACTTTAGATTTAGATCTTAAAACCACTGCTGGTTTTGTGTCATAGGTTTAAACTTCTTAAAATTTATAATATGTTTTAGCATATTGCCATTCTTATCTGTTGTGAACTGCCTAAAGAGCTTTGGCTATTGGGAGATACAGAAATGTAATCTAGTTACATGTATAAATTATATTTCAGAGACTTGGCCACAATTATCCATGTCCTGGTAATTTCCTGGTTGGATTACTGTAATTCGCTTTTTGTGACTTATCTGAAAAAATTGTTCAGCATATCAACAGGTACTAGCCTAGATATAATATGTATCATTTATAATAGCATCATTTTTAGTTAGAGATGCTGTTCAAAGTGTTAGTTGTTGTTTAGTCACAAAGTTGTGCCCAATCCATCACAACCCCATGGACAACATTCCTCCAGGCTCTCCTGTCTTCTACCATCCCTCGGAGTCCACCCAAGCCCACACCGACTGCCCCAGTGACTCCATCTAGCCACCTCTGCCCTCCCCTTCTCCTTTTGCCATCAATCATTCTCAGCATCAGGGTCTTCTCCAGGGAGCTGTTCCTTCTCAAAAGTGTTAGTGCCAGTCTTTAAAGTGCTCAGTGCTGCGAGTCACAGAGAGTTGAGGAAATTCCTGTTAAGGTCTGCTGGTGGAGTCTTTATAGTGGGTGGCCTGGCATATTGGAATCAGGCAAACAACTGCAAGGAGAGGGCCTTTTCAGGTACCAGCAATCTCACTAGGGGATTCCCTGCTTCTTGAGGAACACCAAAATGGCTGCATTTTTCAGAGATAAACATAAAGATCTTTCAGTCTCTAAGGACTCTTAGCAGGCTGGCTAGACACTCTTTTGTTTACTCTAGTTTGGACTTCAATTGCATTTCAGACCGTTTTAGTTGTAAATGATATTAAATTGTTGTGAACTGTTAGGCCTTTCTGAGGGCAGAAGGTAGCATAAAAATATAACAGAGACGAACACCAAACCACTAATGTTCGGCAGTGTACTGATTTTAGGCATTTCCACTGGAAACAAGCCAGAGAACACTTAATTCCTTCACAAAGCTTACCTTTCATTCATAGGGTTACTAAAAAACAGAACAACCACGCTGTGTGATTCTTCTCAAGCTTATGCAATTACAGTGCTCAACATTTTAAGCTGTTTGGCATCATTTGTATAATTACATTTGTCATAACTGATTACTTCGAGAAACAGAAATTATCTTTTTCTCCCAGCCAAGAGAGATCAAGAACATACTGCAATCCGGGGCCTGTTTATTCAGAAATAAGTCTGAGGACTTACTCCATAGTGAGTATGTTTATTACTAATTGGTGAAAACTGTAAATGTGTTAAATATTTTAATGCTACTATTGCTTGTTTCCCTTCATAAAATCCTTTTATTTAACATATCAGAACAGCATGGTGGCAGGAGTGCAGACTCAAAATGCCAGTAACAGCATGACCATGATTTGTGCTACTCTATGACCCTCAAGTGGCAGTTGGGCTCATAAAAACGGTTCTTCACCCACGCTGCTTCACGTTTCAAATGGCTGTTGCACAGGATTTCCTCGTTAGGTAAAGCAATATGCATACGAACCAAGTGCATCTGATGCTTTGCTCTCTCCTACCTTTATTAGTGTTGGCCCACTGCAGTGTTTGACTGTAGCCACAGTATTTGTGGTTAGGGGAGCAGCAGCTGTACAGCGTGTAGTGTGTTGATCTGTGACACATGGCTTGAGAAATTCAGGTACTGATGTTGGTAATGCAGGATACTAACAATGGAGGAAAGGAAACAGGATGAGATACCACAACCCAACATTTTCCACAATAAGCATCAGCTGTTGTAAGATAATTTACACCGCACTCATATTCCCAAAGGGGGTCACAAAGCAGGGAAATCCTTCTGAAAGCCTAAAGATGAATAATGGGAAAGCATATCTGTTATTTAAAGAGAAATCCAAATACATTTATGTCTCAGTAGTGGCCTGCGGAATCAAACAATCATTTACCTTTAAATGTTTGTGCCTTCCCTTTGCTACTGAAAGTATCCAGTCAGAAAAAGCCATTGCACACAGCACACCAGATAAGGTGAATTCACACTAGAGGGCTAAGAACATCTTACTGAGGCAGTAGGGAAGAGGGCTGGAATGATAAGTAACTTTTATAGATCCTAAATAATCAAACAAACAAAATGGTATGGCCACATTTGTCAGTGTGCGAACACTGAATAGGGTATAAGAGAACATGATCTGCAGACCAGAGTACTGCAAGTTGCTTCTAGGTGAATTGAACAGAAGGCCCAATACTTTCATTTATAGACATGAAGACACTGGTCGGACATCAGTCCGCCAGTTGTTTTAACAGGTACTACTACAGACAGTAGTTCTCTATTCCTGGCAGGGAATGACCAGAAAATAATCAAACTGAGCCTGTCTTCCTGGACTACTGCCATGACTGTATTTCAGTACTTCAACAAAAGCGCAGCGTTTGGTTGTGGGAACAGAATCCAGCATCCTGAGATTCTTAGTTTTCTTTAAAATGCAGTGTCTGTGGGAACCTAAGATAGGTCCAGGGGGGAAGGAAGAAGGGGAATGTCAGTGGTGGTGAGACAATGCTGAAATGTCCTGAACAGGGCTCTGGCAAGCCTCCCGTTTCCAAATGTTTTTTACATTTATTTCCCAACCACTTTAAGGCAATTTGCTAAAACCAAATATGCAAAAGAAGTTGTTATATGCAAGCTTCATGCAAAATACACAGATCACAGAATCTGGTGGCCTTTTGCACAGACACCCCTGGCTATATGCTCTGTCTGGGAGCTGGTGTCGATGAACAGCAGGGAAGACTTTCTACTGCTTCCAGGTTAGTTCTGTTACCTGCAAGCTGTGCACACACAGCTAATTAGTATGAATGGATCAACCAACCCGAAACGGTCAACACAGGTGGCCTTTAAAAACTGCTTGACTGACATTGCAGTATGGCAGCACTCATATTTACAGGACTGATTCAGGCATGATACCTGGTTAGAAGTGGAGCTTAGTGTGACTGGAGAGGGTGCTTCTCTTGCCTTGGGTTCACCAGGAGATGCTGCTGAACCCTGGGATTCCTGACTAGCAGGTTGATCCGGAGATAATGCATCACTGCTGTCCTCATCAAATGAAAAATCATCCAAAGCTTGAGGATAGTTTTCCTGGCCAACCGCTAGGAAAAGTTAAAAAAAAAAAGGTTAGGATCATCCTTTTAGTCCGGCGATTATACACAGAAGCTGTAACCCTCACAAGCAAACAGACCTTCCTTATTCATAGCACATTCGGCATGAGTTCAGACCAAATTAGAAATTGCAACAGTGGACATGTGATTTTGTCCCCATGTGAAATGGTAGCCTGTAAAAATCATAGCGGGGTCTTGTCTTTAAATGGAATGCAGGAGGGCGGGAAGATGACCACCCCTGCAACACACAAACGCACACTCCTGCTTTTCCTACCCTCAAGCCATTGTTCTAGGTGCTATTCTCCATTTCTGACCCACTTCCACTGTTGGGATCAGGAAGGCAGAAGTGCCTGAAGTTACAAACTGTGAGGAAGTAAGATACAGAAGTCCCTTCTCGCTTTGTATGATAATAGGACAGACCCCCGAAAATGGCCATGTTGTGCCTATTTTCTTTGAGGTTATTACTTCTTACTATCAAGACATTTGAGACTATCAAGTACACTCTTCTCTGTGTAAATATTCCATAAAGACAAACAAGTTGAACAAAATGGAAAGGCCAATAAAAAGCATTACCTGCTTAAAGGAACATGTTCTAACAGTAACTCTTCCTTTCTATTCTAAGATTAAAATTCCAAGGGAGAGAGGAGTGTATCAACCTTAAAATACCTTTTTTCATGGTGAAACTGTAACAGGTAAGCCATCAACCTGGTCTGAATCATACATGCATATGGACTATGATGATGTGTAATGGCAGTGAATCCCCACCCTTCACTACCATAGAACTGACTAAATACATAGAACCCTAAATAAGCTATTAGGGATCCGTCAGGATATTTCTAAAATTATTTTCTTAGCACTACTCTTGCTTCCGTGTCAGTAGTGAACTATCATTTTCCCCAGAATGGGCCAGGAGAGGGATAACCAGGTTGTGGAAGACAAACCCAGCTGTGTGAGATGATTAGAAAATGAATATACAGGAGAGTACTGCTTCAATGTTGGAGGGTCAGAGCACTTAAATAACTTTTTTGAAACTGGAATGGTTTGCAACTTATCAGAAGATTAAAAGGTCACAAATGACTTAGACGTAGTGAGCAGGAGGTGTGCTACCAATCACAGTCTATCCAATATCCCAGTCTTTATACTTCGCACTTGCTAAGTGAGGGATTGATCAGACTGCTTGTGATGTGATGCTACGTATTACCAGTCATAAAGTACAGCCATCTGAGCACCTGCAACATGGGGCAGCTCAGCAAGAACAATGCTACCTTGAGGGAAACAGTCTGGATCTTTCATAACAAGTAACTAATGCATAGTCTTTATGGGTAGCACCAAAACCTAATTGCCTGAAAGGTCCTGTAAAACTCAGGTTTACATTTCCCATTCTGCAACAACAAATCCAAGTCACAGCTCTTCTATGTACCTATAATTGCTTCTTTAACACTAGAGTCTACAGGTAGGATGTTTTTTTCCACAAGTTCCATAGGGCCAGGCCGTTGAGCAATCTTCTCATTTAGATCATCTGCCAATCGTGCTCTCTTCAGTTTCATCTGAGTTGCCTGCAAAGAAGGCTCTGCAAATGTCTCTGAAAAAAATATTGAACTGAGATCTCAGAAGAAGTTTACCATTTCTGACTCACATTTCCCTCTCATAATTGATTAATTAATTACTATACTGTCCCATTGCTGAAACATAATTACACTGTAACACAGAAACAAAGAAACTGAGTGAATCAGAAGGGGTCTCCTAGACCATCTAGTCTGACCCCCAGCTCCAGCTGGCTCTGCTCATGACATGCTTACCATGTGCATATCTAAACAATGATAAGAAACAATGGAGCTGGTATAATAAAGAATTAATAACTAATTTAGCAACAGCTGCAAGATTAATTATAGCTAAGAACTGGAAAGTAAAATATGATTAGTGCTTGTGAGATTCATATAAAGAATTCCAAAATAAAGCTTTTTATTAAAGTGAGAAAGGTTATATAAGGAGTAATAATTTTAATTAGATTTAGAATACATTTATTGAATATGTGTACAAAAGTGGGGGGTGGATTTGAACTTTTACAAGAATCGCTGCAATATTGGAAGGAAAGAAATTCTTGAAATAATTTCTGAATACATTTTCAACATGTATCCAGTGGGTCCGGTGATGGAGTGCATTTTTTATGAATTATTGTAATTGTATGCTTAATGTATAATGTTATGTTTTTATTTCAATTGGAAGTTTTTAAAATTGTATTTTATATTGAAAATTAATAAATATTATAAAACATTTTACATTATTATTTTCATTTTTTAAAATAAAACTTATCATACACATCTTAAGAATTCAAGTTTTACCAAATCATTTCTCATTTTTACCTTGCTAATGTAATAGAATCACTGTGGTCCAAACACTAAGTCTGAGTGCCACATTCTGATCCCAACTCAGCAACAGGGTTCATATGCAACATTCAAGAAGAAACTATCTGCTTTATTGTACCAACTCTAAAATTTGAATAATCCTGATCTCTTTATGCAAATATCAGGATCACAATTTTTACTGTAATGCACTGTAAAAGGAAATCTTATCTAACAGATACACTGACTCCGTTTGCACAATCAATACACCCACCAGGACTTATTTAAGGCATAGTGAGTTGCAGCATGTGCCATAAGCTGTTTTAAGGCTGTAGGCTGTTCTTCAGTGACATCAGCAACCCACTGCCACCAGATGTGAATGATACAACAATGCACGATAACTGCCCACGGCACTCTGAATATTCGAAAACACTGCAGTACATACTGCAGCCCACTGTGGCTTAAATAAGATGCAGTGAGCTGCGCAATGGTGTGAGCCAGCCCACTGTTAGTCTCCATATCATTGCTGGTACATCTCTGAGTGTCCAAACTTTGATATATATATATTAGTATTCTGGTAAATTAAGGTGTTTTTATATTTTCATGACTGAATGCAGGGAATTCAAAAATAATTTTGCAGCTTGGGGAGGGGGGAACCTCCACTTAATTTGGGCGAAGAGATTTTATCAATGTATATTAACAGTAAATTTTTAAAAAGTAAGATCTCTCATCTAATCCATTTGGATTATATTTTCAGCTTCTGCTTTTCATACTTTGGTTTTAAGTCTTAATGAGAAAATGGGACATCATGATCCTCACCTTCAAGAATGTGCATTCTAACTAACTCTGATCGATCAGGTCTACTCCGTATCTTGTGCTTCAGGAAGTTTTCAGTCTGGGAAAAAATACATGTACAAAGAGACATGCCACTGTTACTGGTAATTCACACAAAATATTTCCATCTTACAGAAACATGTTTAGGAAATTACTTTCAGAAGATAATGCCTCAGGGGTGTCTGTCACTGAAACAAACGCTTGAAATTCTTTGCTCAAAAAAAAAAAAGTTACATGTGAGCGTTTTGCAATATGTTCCATTTGTTGCAAGACTCTGTTTTATATTTATTATTTGGTCATAAGAGAATACTACAGAACATTAGGTTCTTAGCAGGTCACACAGTGAAGGATAAAATGCAGACTTCTCCCCTTGAAATTTTACAGTCCAGGATCCAGCTCATAAAAATTACTTTTTATAGGTGACATGTTTCAAACCAATTCTTCAAACCAGTGATGCAAGATGTTGACAAAATATAAATGATGAAATTCTAATTCTAACTGAGCTAGAATTTAACAATGAACAGCAGCTATCATCAGCAGATTTAAGAGTACATTTGAACAGATATTTTTTAAGAAATTAATGGTGCTGTCATTTTCTGAGTAGTGTAGTGCACCAATTTTTCTAGTGCACTTATATTGAGCAGATTAACCTGCAGTAACACTTTCTTTTTCACCAGAAATGTGAGTCATTCCTTCTCCCTAAACATCACTAAGCAATACTGAACTGAAATTACTCCATGATGGAGGCCAATATTACATCAGAAGAGAACATGTTATAATCAGGATCCAAAACTCTTAGGCATATTCATGGGTACTCATGCACCCACTGGAATTTTTTTTCTTTGAACAGCAAACCACTGTGCTGCATCACTCCCCTCCATTTCTAAGCAGTTTAAGATGCAGTACAGGAAACGTTACTCAGGTAAATAATTAGAACTAATTGACCTGGCTCACATAACACATGGCTTCATTTACCTGTGGGGGTTCTTGTTGTTCCAGGTATATTTGCATGGCACCCGACTTGCTGTGTTATGTGAACCCAGGTAGCTGGGCTTGGTTGAGAACTCAACAATCCTCAACGAACCCCTGGTTTGTTTCAAAGTTAGCTGAATGCCGACTGAGCATGAAACAACCCTTGCTGCTGCCTGGATTCAATATGAGAAGCAGTGGCAAGCCAGGCACCATGCAAAAATGGAGATGAAGACACAATGTGACAGTCTCCGTTAACCTACAAAAGGCTGTTGTGATGTGTTAACAGGCTCAGTGTGTGGTTTTTTGCAGACACTAGCAATAATGTTTTGATGTTCAGGTGGCTGTTCGAACAGCTATTTTAACTAAAAATGCCTCAAGCTTGGGATTTCAAAGATCACAGGTACAGTCTTGGTTGTAATCATCACATTATTTATCTTGAGCAGGTGCCATTTTAAAAGAAACAGTTTTGCTTCTTGGATCACTGGCTAAGGTCAGGGGCATTGTTTGGAACTTACAACACTAGGGGCCAATCTTAATTGCCAGGCACAAGCAGGATTCTGGGCCTTCACAGTGTCCTGAAGTAATTCCCCCAGAAAATCACTTTCATCTTAAGAGATTAAAAAAAGGCATCTGACTGGCATCAGTGGCTCTATTTTGCCTACACTTAATGCCCATGCAAAGAGGGGCTGGGGGATACTATACTACATGACAAGTATTAAATCTGCCCCCACCCACAAAGCAATCTCCTTGAAAATTCTCCTCTGCATGTAAATTTAGCTGACAAAAAACTCACCCACCAACACCAGCGGATAGAGTTAAATAGATCTGGGGTCACAGGAAACTGATTTGGAGCTGAGCTTCATGAGCCCAGGCCTAGCAACACGCCAATAATTCCAATTGCACCTATATCCTCCTGATACATATTCATCCATAGAGTATTAAAACATTCAAATATGTAAATCAAAATATTTATGAGAATGAGGGAGAGATGAATTGACTCTGTAAAGGAAGCCACAGCTGTAAATTCAGAACAGCTGAGCAGGAATGTCATGGATAGAACATTCTGGAAGACCTTCATTCATAGGGTCACCATATGTTGGAGATGACTTGATGTCACAAATGAACAACAAAAAATCCAAAAGAATAAATAGAAACTGCATTTTGCTGTTAATGAGTGGCTAGGGTACTTCCTAATATATTTGAATGATCAGGTCAGGTCTCAAATGGCTGTAAACCTGACTGTAAACCTTTATCCAATTCACTAGTTTTACAAAAGCTTAGGGCCACTCTGGAGGGGGAAGTAAGATAATTGCTACATGGTCACCTAACTTTGGATGGCTCATAAGAAAATAAGAAGAGTCCTACTGGCTCAAACCAAGGTCTATCCAGTCCAGCATTCTGTTCACACAAGGGCCAACCAGCTGCTCAGGAGAAACCCACAAGCAGGGCACATGTGCAACATGTATACAAGCAGGGCACATGTTTTAAAGCATTAGTACTCTAATAATACTAACTTTGCTTATATTTAGTTCTGGGGATAATAACCCAGAACTTTTTACTTGCTTCACAAGTCTTCTGTATCCTACTCTTTCCAAATACAATTGTATGTTAAGAATAAGGCAACGTGTTTAAACTTGATCCTTACCCGGGCTCTTTCCAAGCTCTTGATCTGCTCATGGAATGCAGCTGGGCTCTTCAAAGCTACAATGGGGAAGTAAAAGAATGACATGAAGCTATGAGAAAATACTAGTAATGACATCTTAAACTCATTCATGTTTGTTGATAGAATACATTTGCTAGCTAGTAGAAACAATCTACCAAATATTTGTCTTTCAAATAGGTCAATTAGTATCATGAATATGGGCTTGCATGTGAAGCACAACAAGCAGAAGGAAAAGGGCTGTTTATAGTAAGTCTGAACTGAAACAAGTAACCATCAATGCAGGAGTTGACTTACTGCATAGCAACACCAACTGGAAATTCTAAAGAAATATATGTGCTTGTGCATCTAGAATAATAGGTTAATCCAAATGTCTGGCATTACATGAATAAGATGTACTCCTCCCCTCCTTCCAACTTCTGTATGATTATTAACTTGTTTTTCGTCAAACCATATTTGCATCCAAAATTATGGTTTGCATGAGACTTGTGGCTCAAAATTAAACTTTGCCTTGCAAGGCTCACAGAAACCATAGTTTGACTGCTTGGATGTAAAGCAAAACCATAGTGCAACAATTTAAAAAAAAGACCAAGGGCAGTGCACAAAGGGAGGGGTGAGTTAAGGGAAGCATGTAAGCATAGTGTTCATTCATGGAATACCACATTTTGATTTGGAGTTACATGTTTACTGAGCATTAATTATAGTAACATTTTCCTCATGCAAAGTTCTATTATGCTTGTGTAAGACAGCCATGAAGCACTTCACCATGTGTTACATATAAATCTTTCACATGTGGCAGAAAGCCTTTAGAACCTATCCAACTAAAAGAGCTTTAAGAAACAGTGTAGGCCTATAAATATCACTAAGAAGCAAAGGGTTTTGGTCATTTCTTTCTGAAGCAATGAGATTGACTTCCATAAAGCCTGCTAAGTTTGCTGTATAAGCAATGATCACAATACCTCTGTAGCTAGCATTGTCAGTTACTTATTAAATTACCAATTAAATCATAATTTCAAGTAAATTATGTATTTAAAAATAGTAGTACCGTGGCTGCACTTGTAGGTCGCACCCTGAGAATAAGCTGCACAGGGTCTGTTGTTTGCAGAACACACAGCGCACCGAACAGACAACTGTGTTTATTATGGATGGTTCTCATCCTCCTCCCCTGCTCAGTCTTTGAGCTGGCTCTGGTTTGAATCCCAGTGTCCTTTGCACTAGAACCTGACTGTCTCCTCCTCCCTGCCTCCTCCCTGAAAAATTGCTGCTGTTTTTCATTTGAGAATATATTTTTTAAAATTAGCAGTATCAAGGTGTGGTCTTTTTCATTTTATTTTTTCAGGTTCTGAAAATTGCACAACTGTGTTTGCAGTTTTTTCCTGCCTTTCACAAATGTGCAAGCACATTCTTGAGGCTGTCTGATATGTGTAGCCTTGGCTGGTTCATTCTTCTATGTTTTACCTGTAAAAGAAGCTACAAAGTGGAGAAGGTAATATTCATGGAAAAATGGCAAGGCAAGACTGTTGTCAGAATTGTGGCAGCTCCAGGGTTCCATTTGCTATCCTAGCACCAGCAAACTGACCCTGGTAGTTGCAGGATCAGTCCCAGATTCTGCTCCAGCTGCCGGGGTCTTCATGAGTACTCCCTGGGAACCCTGGGGGAAATACTATTTAAGAGTTGGCTTTTACTTCTTGCAGCTGCCTCCAGTGTGTTGTAGTTCATTCCTGTGCTCCTGACACTCGGTACCTGCTCCTTGTTGCGTTGCCTTACTGGTTCCTGACTTCTGGCCTGCTCCAACTCCATTCTTGCTTATCAGACTACACATTGCTTTGTTTCCACTGTTCTGACTTTGGCCTGTTGAGGATTATGACTTGAATTTGTTACTAGACTGGTTATTGAATGCTGGACAAGCTTCACCTTTGCTCCAGTTGCCTAAGTCCTGGTACATCCATCTAATACTCCACCACCCGTGCTCCAAACCCTTACAACTGCTCACAGTTGCCGGGGATTAACTGCCAAATAGCTGAAAAGTAGTAAAATAACGAGTGTGGGAGAAAACAATACTGCCCCCTTAGCAATCTAAATGTCTTAACTGTATGTGTTGAACTCTCAGCACCCTCCATATTTCAACAATTCACTGTGTCTCCAGCTACTCTACAAAGGGGAACTCCTCCTTGTCTTTTTGCTGGTACAGTTACAACAGTTCTTTGACAGTTCTGAAAAAATACCCTGAGAAGGTTGCTCAGTGGGGTTAAGTGAATGAGGCCCCATGTAGGCAGGGATGTGTAAATACTGATGGTGCTAGCACCTCATTTGCTCCATCCTGTTCTGTCACTTGTAAGGGTTTTGTTTTAAAACTGTCAGAAATATTTGCACATCAGGGAGTAGGAAATACACTGCTGCTACATGTTCTTAAGTTGCCTCTGACTTATGGCAACCCTATGGATTTGAATGCACTCCAAAATGACTCCTTGATGGCCCAGTTCAGCTCTTGTTAACTCAAGGCTGTGGCTTCCTTTATGAATTTGTGTCATCTCATATGTGGTCCCCTTCTGAATTTGACTTTCCCTAACAGGATTGTTTTCCCCAGTGAGTGGGGAAGCACTTTTTCATAAGGTGCTCCAAGTATGACAGCCCAATTTTCACCCTTTTTGCTTCCAGGGAAAGTTCTGTCTTAATTTGATCTCGGACACTCTGTCAATCCACAGTATTCACAAAGCTCTGCTCCAGCACCATGTTTCCAATGCACACATTTTCCTCCTGACAGCAGTCTTCACTGTCCATGCAAAGTGACTGAAAACATGGGAAATATTTGCAAATTTAATGACCAGGCTGCAAGTGGAGGGTAAATTTGCTCATCTGCAGTAACACAGCAATTACTGGAGGTGCACAATTTTTCCCTCCATTCTTCTTCTGTCTTCATAAATGTCCCTTCCAATTATTTCCCAGTCCTTAAATGTGTATATATGTCTGCATTTGTTTTGGAAATCTGAGGGAGCAATTGTAACTGTAGCAGTAAGTACTCCAAAAAGAAGCTGAGAAAAGCAGGAGTTAATATCTCTCTTTTTTTTTTTTTTGGAGTAGCCGGAGACTTGCAGAGGTGATCAGGTAGAGAGCATTTAGTAGAGTTCATGCCACAACTAAAATTGAGAGAATTACATTGCTAAGAAACACTTGCAAAAAGATTAAAAGAGTGGTTTTAAAAAAATACAACAGTTGTGCAATTGTCTGCAATCAGAAGAAAAGGGTGACAAACTAGTAATGGTTGCTCCAAGGTGCCACTTGGGCACCAGTAGAGGGGCAAGATTGTTGTTCTTGCCAAACAGCTCCCTAGCTAACCTTGCAACCCAGGGTAAAATCACTCTCCTGGATGGATGTCATGACCAATGAACATAATATGAACATCCCTTAAAACAAGCCATGGGTTGTCAGAGTCGTTTTGTCCCACAAAATAAGCCACCCTGTGGAAAATGGTCTGAATTCCGAGGACAAGAGAACCCATAATGACTTTTCCTATTTTGCCATAATGACTTTTCCTATTTTGTAAACCCAGTCAGTATTTTTCCCATTTCCCCTTATTTTCACAGACAAATACACAGTTGTGATCCTCCTTTTGCTTTTTGATGGGTCCTAAAAGTTAGTCGTTACTTCTTTTCCTCCTTAGCAAGACTTCCGGAAATTCTATGTACATTCTGCAGAAAAATAAAAGTAGTCTTACGTGGCATGATTCCCTGGTCCACCAACTGTTCTCTTGTCCGTCTTTGCTGCAGCCTCAGCTGAAGAACTGGCAAGAGAAAAAAGAAAATAATTATCTGATAAGATGGAACACAGTCTTGCAGACAGCAAAATCAGTGCAAGACAGTGAGTCAGGTATACAGAATTCTCACTGACATAACCAGACATAAGCTTGCAGTTCAATACTTAATTAGAACCCGCAGTGGAATTTATATCCAAATGGGGATTATACCCAAATTTTAAGAGATGGGATTATATCCAAATTTTAAATACAAGTCATGATACATAGTTTTGCAATCCTGCATTGAAGAACTGGTGCCTGTAAAAAGAACATTTTGAAATACAGTTTCACTAGAGGCAGTAATATGAAGCTCTCACAGGTAGCACCCAGCTTCTTATTAACAGTCACTTTCGACAGCATGTGGCACCTGGGTCAGATAAATGACACCCAGCACCACAAGCCCTACAATTACTCCTGGAACAGGAGAGTGTGTTTTGCCTCAGGAGTATTCTCACACACATCCTTCAGATACTAGTGCTGTCTAACATTAATTGTTGCCTATCCATTGGTGTTCTTCCCTCAGTGTTATTAAAACCTGATATTGCACAGTGAGTATTACTATTGATGAAAATGGCAAAAGAACAGCTGGTTGTCAAGTGTATACATGAGCAAAGGAGAGGTGAAAGGTGCCAATTAACTTGGTCACATAATCATGCTTTTGGGAGCTCTCTGGGAAGCAGAGTGTGCAAGAGAGATGTCCCACAGAGCATAACTACACAATCATCAGCCTCTCCATCTCCATGTTTCAAAGGTTCTCCATTCTGTGTGAGAAAGGCAACCATAGTTAGAACAGTTTCTACGTATGTTTTAAATTCCTAGAATTCAACCAAATGAACAGAACATTCTCCTTTCTACTGTTAAGTAACACAGTAATTTTAACATTGATATTACATATATCTATACATTTAATTTTGAAGGCTGTGGAGTATTGCTGAACTCTCAGGACAATATTTCTCCTAGGAAATGATACTATAATAAATGCTTTAGGAGCGTCTTACATTATTTTGCATATTGGTTTCTTCCAAACCAAATAAAGAGACTCTCCAGTTAGCTGATAAAAGTGGGAGTTGAATCTTATTTGACGATCTCAGAGAAGGAACTATTCTTTCAGGCCTCCATCTTATTATGCAGATTATAGTACTAGCTTGACAGGAAGGTTGTAAGGATAGGATCAAACATGAGCAGTTATTTTAACACTTAACACAAGCTGGACTGGAGCAGTCAACACCTGTAATAAGTCTGTAACACTTACATGGTGGGATTAAAAACATTCCTGTCCAGGACTTCAAATGTCTCCAGAGATCCATACCACATCATAACATCAAATAGGCACTATTTGCATAAAGTCACATATGTGCAGTCCCAGGTCGCAGCAGTGCTCCAGATATAGCTAGAAACTTTGTATGATCTGAGATCATGCAAAATTTATTTTCATACATGGTGTCTTTATTCTGACTGTATGCTCTCTGGAAATCAGAGGGGAGGGAAGCACTCTGGGTAGGAAGGAAAGGAAAACTTGCTTTTTACCATGCCTAAAGGCTGGATCAGGAATAGGAATGGTCTGATCCAGCCCACCATATAAAACTGTGGATTGTTATTAAGGAATTGTCACTATAGGTTTGTGATTTCAGGGAATCTTGCTTTACAAGTTCTCCTGTAAATTTTCAGATTACCCATTATTACTGAAGGCATTCTGTCAGACTACCTCTTCTCAAAATTGAACAACTTGAGCTGCTTCTTCCATTCTTATCTTTCTGAAGCAATCTGGAAGAGCTTGGATAACTCAATACAAATTTCTTACAGAGTTATCAAACACACACAGAGTTGTGTGGGTTCCACATGCAAAATGACACAGGTGCACAGAAGTTCCCTGAGTCTCTTTCACGGGGCCTAAGATGAACTAATGCTTCACTGCTTAAAAAACTGAACAGGAAAAGCAGAGGACATGCTTTGCAGGCAGGTTCCCCCCCGACTTCTCATGGCAGGGCAGGAAAAACTTCGTCCAAATTGCTGGAGAATCTTTGCTGCCAGCCCATAACTATCATGCTGGCTAAGTCAGCCAGTGGTCCAACTCAGTATGAGGCAGCTTCCTATGTTCCTAGTTCATACCTTCAGGGGCCTTGCTTGCTTTTTAAATTGCACTCAACTCCAAGTCAAATGCATCACAAACTATTAAATCTTATTTATTTGGGAGGGACGGTGTCATGCCTAAACCAATAACTTAAAGAGATGTTAAACTAAAAATTCTCAAGCATAGCCATAAAGAATCAGATGTTTATAAATGTTTAGCAGGCAAGGAAACCTGCTTGTTCTAAGGAAATAAAAGCCTGGGAATACTCCATGGAGAGCACAACTATGGTATTTGTCCATTGTTTCATAAAGTGTCTTTATTATTAGCTGAACTGACAACCTTAGAATTGCAGCCTAAAATACATCCATTCTGTAGATTCTGTTTTGTCAAAACAATTATTTCTTAACATTTGCCCTTTGAGATCTGATATTAGAATTACAAAAAAGCAATTTAAGCAAGCAATTAACCTAAGCATAAAGACACACTCCCCGTATAAATACTTTAAGCCTGGAAATGCATGTAATAATAAAATTTACTGCTTCTCATCTTTTGTGATAACTTATGAATGTACATTAAAAAAAGACTAATTTTAGGACATGAAGTTTCCATTCTACATTTTTAAATATAGAAACAAAACAAAAGTTGTTGCCAGATGATCAAAATAAATAAGTTGCCTGCTGAATTAGTTTAAAGGCAAAGTTCATAGTTCAGTAGAGTAATAGCTTGTTCTCCGTCCACAAAATAAAGGATGTTTGCTTGGATAAAAAAAGAAAATTCAATTACAGAGCTACAAAATAATAACACAGCAAATTTCAAAGATGAATGTAAGACATTAGGGATTTTGTGCATTTTTGAAGTAACTTAGTTAAGTTGTGAGACTCCCCATCACCAAAAGTATTAACTATCTAAAATTATTTACTAATTTTTAAAGGACATAAACTTTCACTGGGTAAGGTGTCCTTTGAAAAGCACACAAAATACAATGATTTCAATATGACATCAAGAAATTATTACAAATTAAATTCTAGAAAATAAAGGATAATATTCTAGAAAGGATAATAGTCAATGAAAAGGGTTGAAATGATTATACAATGACTTGATTTAAACAAAATAACAATCCATCATGAATAAGTAGCCATGGCTGGTTGGTTGTATCATCTGAACTCAGCCTGCTTTACCCATTGTAGCTGGGCTTTTCCAAAGAAGCCACCCTCAGATCCCATAGGCTGTTCTATAGTTTGTTACACCCACAATCGGTTCTTGTATTGTCTAAACCCGGACAACCTTTTCCACTGTACATATGTAAGGGGAAAGCAAAGGGGGAAATAACTCTCTGGGTTAATGTCCAGTGCTAATACTGGCTGCATTTAGACAGCAGATATCCCAGCCCCAGAACATTGCCAAGGCAAAGCTTCCCTTTTTTGGTCATGTGCCAATGTATGCCTCAAAACTTTCACAAGTCTGGCTGTAAAAAATAAAATATACATATACTCCCTCCCCAGAATTGTGCAAGGTTCTGTGTGTGTGTGTGTGTGTGTGTGTGTGTATGTGATTTGCTGTCAAGAAGTCTCCAACTTATGACGACCCTGTGAATGAAAGCCCTCCAAATGTCCTGTCCATGACATTTCCATTCTGCTCTCCCAAGTTCAAGGCTGTGGCTTCCCGTACGGATTCAGTCCATCTCATATTTGGTCTGCCCTTTTGTCTTCTGCCTTTAACTTTAACATGACTGTCTTCTTCAGGGAGTCTTGCCTTCTCAGGATGTGTCAAAGTATTACAGGCTCAGTTTTGTCATTTTTGCTTGTAGGAAAAGCTCTGACTTGATTTGATCTAGAAACCACTTGTTTGGCTTTCTGTCAGTCCAGGGTATTTGCAAAGCTCTTATCCAGCACCATGTTTCAAACATACATTTTTTCTTCCTGTCAGTTTCCTTCACTGTCCAGCTCAGACTCGTAGATTGTGATTGGGAATATGATAGTCTGAATGATCGTGAGCTTGGTTTCCAGTAAGACATCCTTACACTTGCTGATTTTTTTCTAGTTCCTTCACTGCTTCCCTTCCAAGTCTCAGTCTTCTTCGAATGTCTTGGTTGTAGTTTCCCTATCAATTGATAACTGAGCCAAGATACGAGAACTCTTTCATAACTTCAATTTATTCATTATTAACAGTAAAGTTCTGAAATTCTTCTGTGGACATGATTTTCAGATGCAGCCCTGTGCAAATCTAAGGTGACTCTTTTAAGAGACTCCCATTCAGTGACAGCCTCTCTCATGTGCTGCTTGGGCACTTCAGAGGGGCTGTCACTGGTTGTCAAAACAGGAATGGAAAAGAAGAACAAACTATCTCCCATGGCTTTTTCCCAGGGAGAATTAGCATGATTCTAATTCCTTCCCATGAAGCTATCAGCAATGATTCTATTTCACATCACTTCCTCCAAAAGCACAAATGACAATTTGCCAGGAAACTCATGTAGCTTAATGCTCTATCGAGATGGTGAGACAAAATAATAAATGATAATTGGGGAGCAAATGTAAAAGAAAACTATTATTTGTGCCACCACTCAAAGATGAACCTTATTTTCTGAATTTTGCTCTAACTTAATCGAGAACCCATTGTTGGCATATAGATAATTTTTCAAGTGACATCATGTAAGCCAACTCTACTATTCTATGGTTCTATAAATGATCTCCAGACAAGTCATTTTTACAATTCTGAAAGTTTAACTAGATCCTTGTATTGAACACAACTCATCCTGTAATGAATATTTATTCAAAATCTTGCAAATGAAAGCTACCACTGTGATTTCCAACTCGTTGTCAGGTTCCAGAAACTCCCAAGGAACAGAAGGCTAATGCACTTCCATGCTTAGTGAATGCACTGCCTAGGGCATCCCTGTCAGTGGCTATATAGCTCACTC